TACTTGCGATGTAGCCATCATAGAGCACCGAAATATGAAGACTACATTATTCGGGTTGAAATTTTAAAATTTTACACAATAAAAAATCTCAAGTTTTGCAAAAACATTATAACTTTTAAATTAATATAAAATGTCGATTAGTGCATTTGACAAGAAAGAAAATATAACAAAATTTGCACTTTTTATGTTTTTAGTGCACACAGGAGGTCCTGGGCAGTGTTAAGATGCAACCCTGAAGATTTACTAAGTTTAAGTTAATGTTTACTCTTATATCGAGTGCTTTTGTGTTACTGGTCGTAATCGACCACACAAAGAACGATCTTTTCCTTTTGTGACAAAACTGGAGACAAAAAAATGTAAAATCTTAAATACTGTACATTTCTATATATTTAACATATATTATCTAGGTCTTATTGTATTTTATTTCTGTAAATTGTTAAATTTCACAATCTTGTTAACAAATCGATAAATCATTGACAATAATAGTAAGAAAATGGACTAATACAACGCCTTTGAAGGGTAGCATTCCCAGTTTTTCAAGTTTACACAATACACACAATGGCCGATGAAGACTTATTTATATACCAACTCGTCTTTTGTTACTCGATAAAAGTTATCAGACATAAAACCGCTTCTTTCACTTGCTGAAGAATGCTCGACAACCATATCGACTCCAATTAGCACCACAGATATTCTTCACTGACTCCGAGACAGATACCCGTAATTCCTCCGAACGAACATTCGCCAACATTACCTTGAGATGCTGCTTTTCCACTACACTCAATAAATGTTTCCCAAATACTATATTAAAGCAATAGGCTTACTATATTTGGTGTATGGTATGATTGCAAAGTGTACGATGTCATTCAGGGACACTCTGATGATCTGACCTTGATCTCATTTACATGGATCACTGATGGTGTTGAGTTTATATGACATTTGTAGTAAAACCTTCTATTACAGACTTTCAACATAAATTCAGTCATGATAAGTAAAGGAGGGAAGACATTTCAGTGCACTCTTTTGTACTAATTAAACTTTTTGTGCTTAATTTAAGATTTTATAGTGCAGATTTTTTTTGCATAATACATTTAATATGCTCGCAATTTAAAAAAAAGATCCTGTGCATAATTTCAAGATTTTATAGTGTATTTATTTCTTCATAAGTGCAAATATCATTGATAATATCATGCTCTTTGATGAAATTTATATATGTTTTCAAATTTTTATTTTTCAACCATCAATTGTCAGATTATTCAAAAGTTAATTTGAGCTGGATTCACTGTAACTCCATTTAATGGTAAATTTCATTAATCCCTAATACCAAAAACAGGGGTGTTTCTAGGATACTTGAAAGAGGGGGGCGTAGAATAAAAAAATGTTGGACCTTTTTTTTGCTAAAAAACATAAAATTGCCATATTCAATACAATATTAGAAGATTACGATAGTTTTTTTTTTAAAAGGGGGAAGGGGGGCGTACGCCCATTACGCCCTCACCTGGACCCGCCCCTGAAAAAAAATCACGTTTCTCCAAAACGAAAGTATTTTCCTGTATACAAAAAAATTTACTGTGCGTACTGTTGTGCGTTTGTTTTTTCTACATTGGCTAGAGGTATAGGGGGAGGGTTGAGATCTCAAAAAACATGTTTAACCCCGCCGCATTTTAGCGCCTGTCCCAAGTCAGGAGCCTCTGGCCTTTGTTAGTCTTGTATCATTTTTAATTTTAGTTTCTTGTGTATAATTTGGAGTTTAGTATGACGTCCATTATCACTGAACTAGTATACATATTTGTTAAGGGGTCAGCTGAAGGACGTCTCCGGGTGCGGGAGTTTTTCGCTGCATTGAAGACCCATTGGTGGCCTTCGGCTGTTGTCTGCTCTATGGTCGGGCTGTTGTCTCTTTAAATTGACACATTCCCCATTTCTATTCTCAATTTTAAATATTGGCATAAGAAACGTGAACACACCAACCTGACCAACATCGACTTTACGCTGACCTGAATGTCCTGACTGAGTGAAAGATGCAATCATTTTATATGTATAAAAAAATAACTTTAAATTTTGAGCATATGAGATTAAATATTATTTTTCAAAGAAAATAGGAAAAATCTTATTTTTTTAAGAAAACAAAATTATTTGAGAAAAATATTTCAAAATTTGAGAAAATAAATTCAAATTCAGTTTTAGAAAAAATCACAAATTGCATTAACAATCTCCAAATTTGAAGGTAATCCATTGAAAAGTAAAAAAAGAAATTGCAAAAATTGACATGTACATATTTTAAGGGCATACGATACAGTAGCAAGGGCAGATAATAACGTTTTCAAAACTTTTCGTGTTGTTTTCGCGATGTTGATAATCAGAACGTTGTAATTTCGCGATGGTTCTTAAAAGAATGATTACATTTTGCGACGTCGCTTTAGATGTAGTCACATTTGCGGAAAAATCCACTGACGTCATAATCCGATTGCGCGAATTTGAAAAAGGCACCTGCTAAAAAAATTGACCATATCACGAAAATTGTAATATCTATTCATTAGTAATGAGGTCAACAGTATTTACTTGAAATGTGGAAAAAAATCAAATCCACAATCATAGTTTTGTATGTGTTTTATTTCATATAGGAAATGAATAAAAGATATGTAAATAGAATAATACGTCGAGGAGACAGAAACCCAACTACACAAAAAGCCCAATAAATAATTCAACGTACTGTCTTGACCATAATATAGTATCTATATATACACCATTTGGCAAGCTCTAAATCGTATGACAATTGTACGGATAAATGAAACAGACTATCAACAAAATGTTAAAATAACATAAGAAATAAAGACAACGCCTCATACTGTTCCTGACTTTGAATAGGTACATTAAAAAGTTTAACGGCATTTTGAGATCTAACCAAGTGGAATATTTATATGTGTATAAAGAATAACTCTCAGTTAAGTAAACACAGTTATGAGCCCCATACGTATTACAGACCATAACAAAAACGCACCCGTTCATGCGCTAAACTTATCCCCTATGTACATATTGAGAGAAAACAATCGAAGTATCGGCACAAGTAATTAGGTATCTGACAGACAAGAAAAGTGTTTACAAGTTGCAACTCACTGTCGTTAAGCTACTGACCAAATACGAAGTCTTTCCGTAAGGTAGTTTATCAGATAAGAAACAAAAATTTGTTGGACCACCGGATGGAAGGACAAACAATGGTGTTGCACCCAATGCTAGATTGGAGGTATAATACAGACAAATATGTACCGTAATAAAAAATACCCTGCCTGAATACAAGCTAAGGTAACCTATATATTGATACAGAATCATGCAATGGTATGCTCTAATATCGACTGCTGTACTTCCTATGAAATATTATACTACACCGCAATGGACTATATATATTGAGATGAGACAAATACGAAATAAATGTGGCTTTTTTGTGTGTCGAAGGCCGTACGGTGACCTTTAATTGTGTTTATCTTCGTCATTTGAACTATGATTGATAAAGTTGTCTCATACCAAATGTCCTTATTTTTATATTATCCCATTTACTTTTTTTTGTAATTTATAACTGTTTGTCATGTCGGGGCCTTTTGAATAATTATATGTATGCTTAAGTTGTGTTGTCTACATGAAATGTAGGACTAATTTCGGACAGAGATGCAAATTTTTTTTTTTTATTAGATTTATTTTTTTGTTTGTTTCAGGTCATTTCTTTTCTAAAAGTAATTTACTAAAATACTTTTTCTATCCAAGTTTCGTAACAATTTATAAAGGTTTGGCAAATAGTTTATGCTACTTTACGAGTAACTTTCTGTATCATATTGATGATAAATATCATTGATTTCGAAAAAAAAAACCTTGGCTATACCACTGAACTTGACAGCGTAGTCGTGAACGACGGGAAAGATTTCACGACGTTGTTGCGATTAAAACTTATTTCAACGTAATCTAGCGCCTTATTGGCAAACGTCCCGTTTGCCATTAAAAATCATGGTTTATTGCTTTTATTGAGAAAACAAGCACATGGACCCCCATTTTTTTCTTTTGCAATCAATCAAGGAATGTTTCAGGGACGCTCCGCTAAAATTTTAAGAAAAAATCAACGATCAAATTTTTCCTGCACTTCTGAATAGACGCAAAAATATTGTCAATTTCTTTATTTCACTAATAGTAATATAATTTAAAAAAACAAAAATTAAGTTAAACCTTAAACTTGTTACAGCATTTTGATGCCGTGGTTCAAAGGAACATTTTACAAAAAACCCGGTTAAATTATGACTGTTCGTTCAAAAGTATTGTTACTTTCCTTAAAAGTCCTTATTTATGCAATTTCAGTGTTTTTCCTTCAAATATGCAAATTCCGAACCAAATTATCTCAAAAAGTAAGTCATGAAGGTATATTTTTCTTTGCACATTTCAAAAGTACACATTAAAATTGACCTTCTACCAAAATTTCAAGAAAAAATCAACGAGGGATCTCTACTGTATCGTATGCCCTTAAGTTCCATTTAGTCTTTAGTTTAACCTTCCTCGAGATACGAATAAAGTACAGTTTAAAATGCTTCAAAATGCACGCAAATGTGTACAGTTGTATTAAATTATAATATATATGGTTTGCAATATCATTCCTTAACATGAAAATTGTATTGAAACTTTTTATTGGAGTATATTTGGGTATTTTGGGGTAAAAAGTCATATTGTGATCGTAAGCGGCTGACCAGATGCTGACATGAACGAAACAAGTGACGAGGAAAAAAGTGATTTAAAATTACATATATTCATAAAACTAAGAATTATTTTTGGTAAAATATCATTAAGGTGTCTAAAATAACATTATTATTCAATCAAATTATGTTGAAACTGTTTTTGGGGTATATTGGGGTATGTTGGGGTATATTGGGGTATGTTGGGGTATATTGGGGTATGTTGGGGTATATTGGGGTAAAAAGTCACGCGTTGTTCAATTTTCACCGGAACAAGATATTTAGTTTGGTTCACGGTTCACCACTGATCGTTTGCCGTGCCTGTCATAGGCGCCAAACAAGGACCAGTATATGAAAAGTTTTTTTTCCAAAGCTCTTTAATTTATCATCATAATGTCAGAGGCCTTAGAAGCACAGTTAGAAATTCTAGTAAATGAAAATGCTTTTTTGAAGAAGTATTTCGCTTTACGAAAGAAATGCGAACAAATACAACAGGTGGGTATTTCCAGAAATAAGATTTCTCTGCAGACGTCTTTCACATTTCTGTCGTTTGTGATAATTTTCCCCGTTCATTTCCGATGTTACATATAATGCTTATGTTTCTATAAGGAAGGTGCTTCCACATGAGCCCCCGAAGGTTATTGGTGCATGATTGTCGAGGCTAATGTTTCGTCCTACATATTGGGCTTAAATTAAAATATTGTTTGTTTGCAGTTTACCGTCCGACCCACGAAAATCCGCCCAACTGTGAAAATTTTATTGCTTTTAGTTTGAAGAAATTATTTTTAATACTTCTATCGACGGGAACCGGAACATCGGGTCGTTTTCGCAATTGATTTAAAGTCTAGGTCGATTACTCTTTTCAAGTTCGGTTTTTCTTACCTTCCCGTCAAGCATTCATCGTACCGTTTAATGATACAGCACATGGAGATTGTGTAGGTACAGGTATCCATAAAGTCATAGAGGAGTTCTTTACGCTGTCAAGATTAAGACAAATAACAATTAAAAAAGTTTGATCATGTTGATAGTAAACTGTTTATATAGCATGTATAGATTCAGGCAGAGTTGCACATGGAATCATGTCTTCGAAGTCGGATATCAAATATGCAAGTTTAATAATATTTTATATTTTAAAGTTTCTTTGTATTATATACAATACATTTATTGATGTAAGTGATTTCCACACACTCAGTGATTTTGCTAGCGCTCGTCATTTTCGTCATTTACGAAACGGTTTTCAAAATGACGAAAGTATTCCAAATCAATTTCGTCACTTAAATTTGGAAAGAGTAAAAATATTTTCGTATGAAAATACTATAATTCTACCTGTCTTATTGTTTCTGACAAGTTTATGACCCTCAGCTAATTAACATTTCCAACAGGTGTTACAAGTTGTGATTACAGATAATCCGCTTATCGCCATTGGATGGGTCACTAATCCGTTAATTATTTAGCAACCTCATAATTGATCATCATAATTATTTTCCCCAGTAAAATCAGTCAGTCGTCATTTCAATTTCAATATTTATCAAACGATCACAATTTGCAGTTCACTTGTCGTAGTTTCGTCAAATGAATGTATTTTCGTCATATTTGATATAATTTTTAATCAAAAACTTTCGACAATTTCGATTAAAAAGATAGAACTTTACATAACATTCAGAAATGTTTTCACAAGTCACGATGAACTGCGCATGCACGAAAGTATTCTTATGAATGTCAAGACACTAAAACGTAAAATATGAAATTAAGTATCAAACTAAACGAGAGAGACAAATATAGTTCTTATTTAGCAAATTTAATTTAAAAAATGATAATTTCCTGCCTTTTTTAAACACGAACCAATCCGTAGATGAATCCGGATTCATTCTGAATTTATTATCCACTTGTCACTTCCCGTTTTCATTTCATTTGGAAATCGAAAGTAAACGTGATCTATTCATGATAAATTTACAATTTAAAGTCATTAGAATTGTTCCAATAAGGATTTGTACAAATCCTTGGTTCCAACTTTATAGAATTAATTCTAAATATCGCTTTATAACGTTTTAAAGGATAATGAGTATGAATAATGCAGTGAAATAGTCCTTACAAGTTCATTTATGCTGTGATTCCTGGTTTTTAAAATAAATGGATCCCAACTTTTGCTGATAAGGAATGTACCCTGAAACTAACTGAAGTGAAATTGTGAACTAGATTGCTAGATCTTATATCCTAATCTTCGTATTAAAGTGCCACATCAGTCAAATCATGCAGTAACTGCCTAGTATGCCTAAGTCCTTCAAAGTCTGACAAAGATGTATACATAGTAATATACATCCTAGGTCCCTTGCTGCTAACCAAAATAAGGTTGATTTTCATCCCGCGCAAAAGTGACTAAAGCCCTCAAAATCCTAGCTTAAACCCTGCACACACTTACCATGAAATTTGTTTGCGATTCACATAAACTTTTTCAATTTCCAGTTGGTGACAAACTTGCAGCATTTGTACTTGTTGTGGTTTTGGCTCACCTTTTACACTCAGGAAGTGTTCGAAATCATTTTTATGCCCCCGTCGTAGCGGAGGGGGCATTAAGTTTTACCCTTGTCCGTCCGTACGTCCCAAAGTTGGTTTCCATTCTCTAACTTAAGTTTGCCTCAACCAAATGTTATGAAATTTATACACAATGCTTATTACCACAAAACACAGATCAATTTTGAATTTTGGTGGCGTCACTGTAACTGTTCTAGAGTTATGCCCCTTTACAAATGGAGAAATTGCTGAATTTTCGTTTCTGTTCTATAACTTTAGTTTGCTTCAACCAATTTTTATGAAACTTATATACACAATGCTTATTACCACAAAATACAGATCAAGTTGAATTTTGGTGGTGTCACTTTTACCGTTCTAGAGTTATGCCCCTTTACAAATAGAAAAATTGCTGAATTTTCGTTTCCATTCTCTTACTTAAGTTAGCCTCAACCAAATGTTATGAAACTTATACACAATGCTTATTACCACAAAATACAGATCAAGTTTGAATTTTGTTGGTGTCACTATAACAATTCTAGAGTTATGCCCTTTTACAAAAGGAAAAATTGCTGAATTTTACGTTTCCATTTCCTCTAACTTAAGTTAGCCTCAACCAAATGTTATGAAACTTATATATGCAAGTGGGGGCATCATCTGTGTCCCATGGATACATTCCCCATTTATTTTGTTCTTTGATGAAGGGAAGAGAATTTCCCCATGGAAATATTTTTGGGCATAAGAGTCAGGCTCTATGCTCCTCCTTCATTTATCGTAACAATGTTTGTTAGATCTGGGCACCACTGATAGGGCGCCAAGCTTCCGAGGTAGCTGAATTTGGCTCCAAAGGGACTGTTGGAGTCAATGTTATTATGACAAATTACATATCTTTTTAGACACCAGCAGACAACTTGAAATTCGTCAGATTTTCCCCAAATTACGTTAATAACATGTTTTCCCTGAATTTTTGCGGAAAAAGGTGTGCTGATTATATAATTATGAATAGGAATTTCAACACTTATTTATGGTAATTTCAAATTGAAATGATTTTAATCCTCAGGAAATGGCCAGCTACTCCAGTCTGAGACAATAAATACTGGAAATTTCAATATGGTTATGAATGATGAATGAAATCAGATTTACAATTCCATGTTTCTTTTGATTATCAGTAGATTATTGTATTTCATATTTTCTATGGGTTAAAGTGTTTTAACATAACTGGTAATTGTTTTACTGGTGATATTTGGTTTGGAATTAATTCATGACTTGTGATAAAGTAACTTATCTAGCTTGTACTTGTTTTAGAAGAAGGGACACTTTCACACATGTATATTCATGATATTTCTTAGTATACAGCAAAAGCTTTTTCTAGATCTATCATGCTTTGACTTGTATTTTAATGTTAGTCTGTTAAAGCATGTCACTATTACTGACAAATATTTAGAAAAATAATGCATACATTGATAGTTCAATTCAATCTGTGTATCTGTATGATATTTAAGGAATGACTGTAATATTTTTTCTGTCTATGAAGAAATAACATCAAAAATGTGGTGCACACTGAATAACCCGCGTAGTGGGTTATTTTGAAGTGTGCACCACATTTTTTATGTTATTTCGAAAAGACAGAAAAAATATAACAGTAATTTCTTATAATTTAATTCTAAATTCCATTTTAAACCGGAGTAAACCATGAAAAAACGTTGACGACGTCACGGTCACATGACAAAATTATGTCTATGAGCTGATAAACAAAACAACACCAGCCAATCAGAAGACGCGTTAAATCAAAAATTAAATTATAAATACTCATCCTGAATTCAACTATCAATTTAATTTTTATATAAAAAAAAATGCTTCTTCCTTTCTAGGCAAATGAAAAAGTTGTCAATAGAATCCAGCATGTAAAGAAAATGATAAAGAGATACAAACGTGAAAGAAGGTAGGTTGGACAAAAAGAAATGATTGATTTTATATGCACAGTGACAAATGTTAAGTTTGCTAATAGATTTATCCTTGCTCCTCTGTAATTCGATCTGTAAAATTGTCTTATTTTTCTTGACATAGTTGATAAAATATATCCAGTGTACAGCTAAAATGGACAACTAATGAGATTTGGCAATAGCACACTTTTCTGGTCATAAAAGTATGACGAGGATTAACAAGCCCTTCTTAAAGAGACATTAGCTGCCAAATTCATGATCGCTGCTATGACTTAACTCTCATATTTATGGCCCCGCAACAATGTTGTCAGGGCCATATAGTTTTACCCTTGTCCGTCATTCTGTCATTCCGTCATTCCACAACAAACCATTATACGCAATTTTTTTCTTAACGCCTTCAGATATTGGGCTGATTTTTGGTATGTGAGTTGACCATGATGAGTTACAGATCAAGTTTAAGTTTCGTTCCCCTCTGCTAATTTTTGCTGAAATTACGGGCTTTGGACTTTGATAAATTGTTGAAAATCACAGTTATACAGACTTTTTTTCTAAACGCCTTCAGATATTGGGTTGATTTTTGGTATGTGAGTTAACCATAAAGAGTTACAGATAAAGTTTAAGTTTCATTTTGCTCTGCTAATTTTTGCCTAAATTACAGGCTTTGGACTTTGATAGATAGTTTGAAATTTAGTATGAATTTTAACTACTCATTGATCAAGGATATTTTTCATCAAACTAGAATTGGTCTTGAGAGCTGGATACTATCCATGCATGTTTGTGTCCACATGTGTTGTTGAAAGTGCAGATTTTTCAACTTTTTGAGACGGGGCCATTCGTGTCGTTCTGACACATCTAGTTTATTTTATAACATACTGAAAATGTATATATATATACATTTATATCCGAATTACAAAAAGTTGAAAAACCATTAACAATTTAACAATGCAAGAACTACAGTCGAACCTCGTTGTGTAGAAGTGGAAGGGACCGGACCAAAGTATTCGACACATCCGAGGTTCGACTCATCCGAGGTCGAGTGTGTCGTCATAAATTTGGAATGCATGAAATACAGTATGAGATTTGTGTAAACTAGATACAATGAACAGTGTGCCTTTTTTTGATATGACACTTTATGATTGTGTATTCAATCTCCATTTTTGGTCCTTCATAATAATTAAACACACAAGTACAGATACAAATCATGCACAAATAAAAAAAATAAAAATAGTCTACACAAATATTTAAAAAGGTCAGTCACTGTAAATTATGAAATCATTCGTGGAACGAATTAAGTTATGAACGGTCTCGGATGAGCCAGAGGTCGTCTGCTTTACATTAAATTATCATGAATTTATCATAATTGTCCTAATCCTGTTATTTATTGTAATTAATGAGTTTTAAATCTAACAATTCATTTAATCTCGGCTTGGGTCATTTAAATTCGTTTTGTTTTTATCTGATGTGAAAAATGTTCAACACACTAACATTCCGCTTGAACAATCAACAAAGGTGTTAATTACCGGTCACCATAAACATGCCATTTTAATTGTTATACAAACAAGTATGTTTACTCAACTTTAATCTCTTTTGAAAATGATTAGGTTGCATAAGAAATCATCATTAGGTCTGCATCTTTTGAAAATTCTTACTTTCGAAATTCGAGTCATCGGGGTCAATTTACATGAATTTTACATCGACTGGACTATAAAATTTACTCGACTTAACTGAGTATTCGAATCAACTGAGTTCAACTCATCAGAGGTTATTATGCATTGATCAAACGGGAATTTTACAGGGACCGAGAAATTACTTCGACTCATCCGAGTTTTCGACACAACCGAGTTCAACACAACGAGGTTCGACTGTAGTTATAATATATATCAGCATTTCAGACTAGATACTATATCTGACCATCGAGATGACCTCACAAGACTGCCGATTTTTATACAATCCGATATAAACATAATATATAAATAGACAAGCAAGTGCAATCGTATAATCACGGTTTCTTTTTTTTCTGTTTGATTACATTAAAATTTGTAAATCGTCATTTTCCCTGTAAAAGAAGGATTTTTTGTGGGCCTCATAAGTGTTGACCTGAATTTTGCAATTCTTTATTATATAATCTAAACACCTCAAAACAGGCTTTCAGATGAGTTAAAAGGGTGCTTAAGCACATAAATACTCATTCAAACAATGTAGTAAAAGATTAAAAACACTTATGACAATATAAGAGTAGCATTAGGTCCTCTTGCTCTTAAAATCCCCCATAGAGATTTTGAAAAGTTAGCAGGTTTGCAATGTTGACATTCTGTTCTTTTTAATAATCGAACACCCTTAGCAACTAAAAAAACAATTTCTAGCTAAAGGTTAACTTAAGGTTGCATGATTACGGATGTAAAGGAGGTTGATTTACTGATTTGCAAGCCAATAATACATTAGAGATGTCTTAAAGCTTATTTTGACAAAATTCAACCAAACTGACTGGTAATAGTAAAATATTATTTCAGAGTACTGCTTTTATCATTTGTTTATAAACATGATAAATGTTTGAAACAAAAATAATCATATTTGAATTTTTGTCTAAATAGTAGCTAATGTCCCTTTAATAGCCTCCCTCATTGTAATGAAAGTTTATTAGTTGGGAGGCAGCTGAGATTTACCTGTGCATCTGATAGGTAAACCGGTAGTATTGGACATCGTTTAAATAAATTAGCAAAAATGAAGTAGTTTATCAAAAATGTGTTTAAAATGGTAAGATGATAGAATTAAAAAGGTTTTTGAAAGGAAACCAGGTTGTTAAGTAATTACAGATGTACAAACACACGGATGCTCACAGATGTGAAATTAAATTATGTATCCAAAATCTTTTGAAATAATAAAAATATCATTTATATAAGTGTATATGAAAATTTAAAGTTTTTATAAGCCCGTTTACGGCACGTATTATGGTATACTGTATGTCCGTCCGTCCGTCCGTCTGCCTGTCTGTCCGTCTATTGTCAACATGTCGGACAAGTACTCAAAAACTCTTAATCCAATTTGCATGAAACTTTGGTGAATTGTTTATATCTACTGACGTGAGTTCCCTATTGATTTTTATAAATTTAAGATTTTGCGTTTCCGAGTTATGGGGTTTTATTCATTTAAAAAAAGGGGGATTTTTCAGTTTTCTGACAATAACTCAAAAACACTTTTACTAATTCCCAAGAAACTTTGATGAATTGTTTGTATATATTTATGTGAGATCGCTTTCGATTTTTATGAATTTAGATTTTATGTTTCCAAGTTGTGGTTTTTTTATTCATTTAAAAAGGGGGATTTTCCAGTTTTCAGACAATAACTCAAAAACTCTTTGAACAGTTTTCATGAAACTTTTGTGACTGGTTTATATCTATTAAAACAACCTCCCTTTAGTTTTTATAAATTTCTGATATATGACATTGAGGAGTTATTGAACTAGTTACTTTATTCCTTGAAAAAGTGACGGGCGTTTCATGAACTCATGGCGCAGCTGTTTATTTGCACATTGTCTTAAAGAGATTTTTTGCTAAAAATTCTCATTGTTTACAAATGTACATACATCATGTAGGATCATTGAGAACTATACTCATTGTAGTGCTGAGAAGTACTACTAATTCAGTGTTCTTTTGCCATATGTAGGTCAGAAATGTTCTCATTTATGGTCCTCACAAAGAAATTTGTTGCGTACGGTATAATGTATTCGACCCGTCCGTCCATAAGCCCTGTTAATGTCATCACAACTCCTCTGAAACAACACAACAGAATTTCATGAACTTTGTCAATTACAAGGACATACTATGTAGATGTGCATATTGTCAAGATATTATGATTCAGTTTTTTCTAGGAGTTATGCCACTTTGAACTTAGAATTTTGGCCTAAAATATATATACGACTGCAACAGTTTGTCAACTCCTCTGAATCTGAAACCACACAACAGAATTTTTTTTTTTTTTAGATAATATGTACATAATATGCAGATGTGTGTATTGACCGGGTATTATTATGAATTAATTTTTTTCTAGGAGTTATGCCCCTTTTAACTTAGAATTTTGGCCTACTGCAAAATATTGTCATCGCAACTCCTTTGAAACCACACAACAGAATTTCATGAAACTTTGTAGTTAATAAGGACATACTATGCAGATGTGCATATCCACAAGAAATTTTAATCAGATGACTTTTGTAGTAGTAATGAGTCTTCGAACTTAGGAATCTGGTGGAATTTTGTTTGTTCAGTGACAATGTTGGTTGTGAGGTATGTGAGCTGGCTCAGAAAGGTTCCTTCATTTAAAAACTTAAGCCATGACAGCTCTAGGATATCCATATTACATTTATGGTAATAACACATTTCACTGGTGAACAATAAAAAGGTTTTATTTACATTGTACCCCATATCATGCATATTGGAATCTATATAATCTAGGGAAACATTTTGTAAAATGTGAATTGGTGTAGTAAGTTGTATAATGTTAAAGTTTGAATATTTATATTTAGTATTATAATACATGTACATGTAAAGTAATATATTTTGTAGGTATTTAGCCAACAGATTAGATGATTATGGAGATAATTATAGAGATGTTCAAGTACCAGTTATGTGGGAGGTAACAGAACTAAAGAAACATGTTTGGAATCAGTTTGAATAATTGATCTTGAAGGACTAAACTGAAATCTCCCATATTTTTATACGACCGCAAAACATTTTCGTCCGAAGACACTTGGTTTACGGACAATAACTTTAATATTAGTTAATAGAAATCTATGTTATTTAAACACAAGGTTTATAACCACAAAAGGAAGGTTGGTAGTGATTTTGGGGGTTATGGTCCTAACAGTTTAGGAATTAGGGGCAAAAAAAAGGGGCCCAAATAAGCATTTTTCTAGTTTTCAGACAATAACTTGTGGAACGATGTATGGATCTCTCTGAAATTGTACAACAAGTTTCCATACCACAAAGGGATGGTTAGAATTGGCTTGGGGGGTAATGGCTCAAACCGTTTAGGAATTAGGGGGAAAAACAAGGGTTTCCTTGTTAATGGACAATCACTTTTAAGTACAATGTTAAATTTGGATTACCTCCCTTACACTGCTTTAAATTTATGTATACAGAAATTTTGTATTGTCTTGAGGTGATTAGCTGTCAATTTATTTTTAGAAGTTACTAATAAAAATGCTGATTAAAGATATATTATTTTTAGACATGATTATATATATGTCATTTTCTATTTTAAGACTTTTACGATGTATTTAAATGGGTAATTATGGTTGCAAACTCCATTGGAAATTTGAATTGAGATAATGACCATATCTTGAGGGAAAGATTTTTTTTTGGAAAAAGGGGTGGAGTTGGGGGGGGGGGGGGGGGGGGGGAACAATTTTTTTTTCTCCTTTCAGATTTCAGAAATTAAAAAAAAAGGGATTGGGTGAAATTTTGTTGTTTTTTTTTTTGGGGGGGGGGGGTTAATTTGCAACAGCATAGTGTATTGCACAAAAGCAAAAAATTGAATATAAATTCAAATCATATAACCAATTCTACCGTTATTCTGTTTCAGAAACCTATTATGTGTCAAACATTTAATTTCAATCCAAATTCAGACCTGTATCAAGCACTAATATTGTGTTAATTTTTTGCCCCATTATTATCCTTATCCTTGTCCAGCTGTAGACAAAATGGTAACTGTGTGACAGTAAATTTACATGAATTTGCTGCTTAAGGAAAGTTTGGATTCCATAGTTATTGCTTCAACATACAATTAATCTGTTTTAACATGTTAAAATCAGTGTCTGTATTTTACAAAAAAATTATTAATTGTGAATAACCTGAAAATATTTTCTTTGACAGGAGGACAAGTTATTAGGTGCAACAGAACCATGTTCCTCTTTTGAAGATGTAGAAAAGGAAATTTCATCCCCTGTTAGCAGCACTGATAGGACAGTATCTGAGATCTTGTCTAATATCAATCCTCTACTAAAGGCTCATGGGATAGATCACATAACTCCAGGTTCAAAGACAAAGAAATCGAAAGCAGACACTAATGCTCCTAAGAAGCCTGCCAATGCATTTTTGTTGTTCTGTACCCAACAGAGGTCATCAGTACAAGAAGAATATTACAAGGTGTTCTTTATTTATGGATTATTGAGAAAAAATGTTAGATTAACAGAACACTAGGCATTCTAGGCAAGCCATTTGTCACTTCTGGATTTTTTTCCACATTTTTTCAATGCAGATCTAGAGAAACAATTATTGAAACAAAACTGAAGTTTTTAAAATTCTATTTATTTTATGATAAATACTGTCTATCTAAGCATTATAATTTCAATGTTACATTATCTTTTGACTTATATTTAAATGAAACTGTACATTCTAGACTTACTGCTTGATAACCTGTAAATGTAGTGAACAATTTTGGTTTTCTCATTGCTATTGCATCCTTTAGTTGGTTTAAGATATAGTAAAAGTTTTAATTTGATTGAACTATCAAAAACTGCAGTATTTAAATGGATTGAAGGTCTAAATACAGCACAAACAACAGTTTCCAAAAGACCAAAAAAGTGAAAAAGTATATTTTAACAAAACGCATTTGACTAACAGGTCGAACAACTGATGTTCTTAAACCCTGCTGACTGCCATTGGCGATTGCCAAATAAACAGATCACCAGATGTAACAAAATGGATCTTATAATAATTTATTAGCAAACAGAAAACAATAAACTTGCGGAAAAGATGGTATACCGCAAACATGAGGTGCAAAAATTTGTACACCATATCTGGATTTCGACAATTAATGTCTCTTCAGTGATGTTAGGAATTGAAACGGTACTTGGAAGGCCATATAATGTACCTCAATTTAGGATAGACTCTTGAATTTTGAAAGGGTCGAAATAGGATGAACGGATCATATAAACCTGAAGGCAAATATAATACAAGCCCAAACGAAAAAATATAAACAAGTCTAAATTGAAAACAACGTTCAAACCTATGATTGCGTTGGATAAAAACCGCAATTTTTATACGTGTGCATGTGAAACAAATTTCTTGGTAGAGGGGTCTAAATACAGCACAAACAATATTTTCCAAAATACCAAAAAAGTGAAAAAGTATATTTTAACAAAACGCATTTGACTAGCAGGTTGAACAACTGATGTTCTTAAACCCTGCTGACTGCCATATATATATATCTTTATTCTGTCAAACCTTTGCCATTACAATATTTTATGGTATACAGACACTACATGACATCAATAAATACAGACATAAATACATGAATACACAGAGCAAAATATGTACACTATTTACAATTATACTGATTGTATTTAGCCAGGAGAGCACACATGGGAATTTATATATCTTATAATAAAGGTACACAGCTTTCTGAATTTAGATTTCTTGGTTAAATTCATAAGTTCCTTAAACGTCAATTTATTTGGGTGAGATACATACATGCTTTTTATCAATTCATGAGTTTCTTTTAACTGACATATCTTCACACTTCATAATATAATGAAACTCATCTCCAAGATCTTTTGAATTACACAATTTACAAGTTCGTCTATCTCTCTGAATATTTGTCCATCTCCCTATCTTAAAAGGTAATTTATGGTTGATGGTTCTAAATTTGCATAAAAAGCCATGTTTGTTGAAACTGATCTTGGAGTGATCTTCTGATGGTAATCTTTAACCAAATGTACAAGATTAAGTGTTTTTGGAATATTTCTTTACTGTACAGTTGGCAGATTAATAGAAGTTACAACAAAATAAATGCCAAAATAGACATCTTCAATGTGTAAATGGATGAAGTGGGTTTTTATACGAACACTTTTGCGGTCGTATATTGGATAACGTTGGCGTCGTCGTCCGAAGACACATTGGTTTTCGCACAATAACTTTAGTTTAAGTGAATGGATCTCTATGAAATTTTACCATAAGGTTCAATACCACAAAAGGAAGGTTGGGATTGATTTTGGGGGTTATGGTCCTAACAGTTTAGGAATAAGGGGCCAAAAAGAGGCCCAAAAAGGCATTTTTCTAATTATATCAGAAGATACAACAAAAATTATGAAGCTTCATTAAGCATCCCAGATTACACTAAATGAAAGCTTGTGTTGAAGGAAGGATGATTTAGTATTAGAATTGAAAAAGGTGTTGACTCCTATATGTTGTGATATAGGGACTGATAATATGTGTTTCCTTTAAACAAACAAAATTTTTATTTGTATCACAGGATAAACATGAAGAAATCTCTAATCATGAAATGACAAAACGATTAGCACAGAAATGGAATGGCTTAACTCCAGAGCAGAAAAAGGTATTTAAATATAAAAGTATAGATCGAAAAACTCCTAATTAAGTGAGAGAAATAATTTACATAACATACTACAAAAAATGTACTAATAACATTTGTGTGATGTCTTACACTTCACAGATCAGACTAATCACAGAAAATTTTTGTTTTAAAGTTTTAAGTATGTAATTATTTTGAGATTAATTACTTTCTTAACCTCATGATCATCATTTCACTATAATGTTTACAAGTAAGAAATTGTATCGGTGAACATTGTATAGTATTTTACAAGGAAATTCAGACAGTTTAGTAATTAGTGATACAGTCTATTAATGTCAAAATATTTTCAGGTGTATTATGACATGTATGAGCACGAGAAAGAACGATATGATAAAGAAGTCAAAGAATACCATGAAAAGGCATCTAATAGTCAAGGGAACGTAACACAAGAAGTACAAAGTATGATGGGAAAAGAAGCTCAGAGTGCTGTAGATGCTTTGATGATGGATACTTGATTAACTATCAATAGTTTTAATTGATTATAGATAAACCAAATGAAACTTGGAAAATGTACATCAAAAAGCAAATATTTCACCTTATATTAAGGGTTTTTAGTTTAATGTGCTCATATTTGGCTGGCACCAAGTGCATCCATCCACAGCTTAGTATAAATGAAGGGTATTGGACTACAAATTCTGCTGATAGTTTGTCTGCTATCAGCAAAATTGATACATTTTCCTTTAGTTTTGAATAATGTCCATTCTTCCTTTGCTTAGTTCTGAAATATAACTGACTTTTCTGTCATTTTTGCTGGTTTTTATTTTTTTACCAATTTCTTAATGATATGTTTTTGAAGGAGTTATTGTTTGCTTCAAGTTGACATACCTTTGGAAAGAAATGCAGCACTTTGACTTTGAAAATTTAATGAAAATTGTTCTTGTGTAAACTTTTTTGTGTTGCCCTTAGATAATAAGCTGATTTTTGTCTCGCCTTGACGGAGTCAAAAAGTGAGACAAAGTTATACTGTTTCTGGCATCGACGGCGGCGGTGGTGTCAACAATGTATTAGTTTGTGATTAGGTCTAGTTTAACTTTAAGGTGAACCACTAGTGGTTGGTCAATGATATTTGGTATGCAGTTGTATTAGCACTGGCACATCTCATTTCCATGGAGATTATTTGGCCCTTCCCCTCAGTCATGGTTTATTGACTTTGAAACTTTTGCTTAGTTTACATGTATTAGTTTGTGATTAGGTCAGTTTATGGGAAACCACTAGTGGTAAGTCAATGATATTTGGCATGCAGTTGTATAAGTATTGGCATATCTCATTTCCATGGAGGTTATTTGGCTCCGCCCCATCAGTCATGGTTTATTGACTTTAAAACTTTTGCTTAGTTTACATGTATTAGTTTGTGATTGGGTCAGTTCGAGGGGAACCACTAGTGGTAAGTCAATGATATTTGGTATGCAGTTGTATAAGCATTGGCATATCTCATTTCCATGGAGAATATTTGGTCCCACCCCCTCAGTCATGGTCTATTGACTTTGAAACTCTTGCTTAGTTTACATGTATTAGTTTGTGATTATTTCAGTTCAAGGGGAACCATTAGTGGTAGGCCAATGTTAATTGGTATGCAATTGTATAAGCATTAGCACATCTCATTTCCATGGAGAATATTTGGTCCTTAACCCTCAGTCATGGTCTATTGACTTTGAAACTTTTGCTTACTGTGGATTCATTATTATTCGTTTGATATCAATTTTCGTGGATTTCGTGGGTACAGGTGAACCACGAAAATAAATGTTCAACGAATAACAAATTTTCCATAGGCTTGTATGCAGACTTCGTCAAAACCACGAAATTAAATATCAACGAACATGTAAGTTTTCCTTAATCCACGAAAATAAATGAATCCACAGTAGTTTACATGTATTAGTTTGTGATTAGATCAGTTTAAGATGAACCGCTAATGTTAAGTCAATGATATTTGGTATGCAAATTTATTGGCATTTGCAAGTCTCATTTGCATGGAGTTATATAGCCCCACCCCCTCATCATGGTTCATTGACTTTGAAACTTGTACATAGTTTACAAGTCAATGTTTGTGTTTGGGTTTGTTGAAAGGGAATGACTTATGATAAGTCTATGGTATTTAGTATGCAGTTGTATTAGCATTGGCACATCTCATTTCCATGGAGATTGTTTTGCCATGTACCTTCAGTCATGGTTCATTGACTTTGAATATTTGCATAACTTACATGTTAAAGCATTGCTATTTTAATTTCAACATTTGCATTATCAAAAGTACAAAAAGGCGAAACATATCTCTGTGTTAACAGTTTATTGTTCCTATTTGTAAAATGATGAATTACAAATCAAGTTATTGATTTGTTTTGGTTAACATTTTTGATTGACATACATCCCAAATTTTCAAGGTTATTGTGGTGATATGATCCATCTTTTTACGTTTTGGATTGGGGATATATTGCATTTCAATCAGAAGCAATTTTAAAAGTCAAAGAGTGATTTATTCTGTTGTTGGATATATTTTGTTCAGATTTGTAGTTTAATAATTATCCTTAAATCTCTTTTATTCATGCAACAAATACATCAGTGTCATTTGGTCTAAAAATTCAAAATAATATCCCAAAGATTGTTATTTTTTACATCAATAATACTCGTAAATTATCTGTATTTATTTCAAATAATTGTATTGTGTAAAAAGCCTTAGTTTCCTAATTCTAACACTAGAAACAGCTGTAGGAAAATTCGTTGTGTTTAATAGTTTGTTATTTATGTGTTGGATAGTGTGGAATATATCAGGAATGTTAGTGTAATAAATAATTTATGAAAATATTTTTCTCTTTTTCATTGATATGAATTAAGAGATTTTGTTAAAGTCAATGAGGCAGCAATTATAAAAAAAACTAGAAAATGCATAAAATTTAAGTTCAACATATATGTTCCTCAACACTAGACAAGTGTCTATACTATAAAGAACATGAAGAATGTCAGCAAATAAACAGATTCTTGAGTTGAGCTTGGTACATCTTATTAGTATTGATAAAATTACTCAACATAGGTTTTTGTCTCTCCTCTGCAAAGTCCAGAGGCCAGCCTTAGATATGCTATTTCCAGAGATGGTGTCAACAAAGCTAAAAGTTTGTAATTAGGTCAATTTAATGGGAACCTCTAATGGAATGTCAATGACATTTGGAATGCAGCTGTATTAGAATTGGCATATCTCATGTCCATGGAGATCATTTGTCTCTACTCCCTCAGTCATGGTCTATTGACTTTGAAACTGTTGCAAAGTTTACATGTTCAAAGTTTTTGAGTTGGTCAGCTTAAGGGAAACCATTAATGATATGTCAGTGATAATTGCTATGCAGCTGTATTAGCATTAGAAAATTTCTTTAGCATGAAGATTATTTGACTCTGCAGTTTCAGTCATGGTTCATTGACTTTGAATGTTTTTATGAATAAAATTTCAAAAATATTTCACCCAACAGGTCTTCTATCTCTCTGATTGTAAAGACATATGCTGACAGAGTGTCTGTTAGGCTATGCAGCATATGCAAATACACAGCCTTGTCCGGTTGGAAAGGGGACACTGAATCTGATACCCCATGTGAAGAGATTGCCATGCTCCCTGCATGTTAAACAAGAGTGCACATGCTGAAATGTCTTGTCTACTATACTGACCATTGATTTTATGTTGATAGTCCTAAATATCAAGTTTTACTACAAGTATCACATTAGCATTTATGATCCAAGAAAATGAGGTCAAAGTCAGATAAACCAAGCCGGAAATACATGTACACCTTTAATACAATCATTCCATACACCAAATATAGATGACCTATTGCTTATAATATAAAAGAAACAGACCAAACCATGGAAAATTTTATATTGACCAATAAATCATGAAAATGAGGTCAAGGTCAGATAAAACCTGCCAGATAGACATGTACACCTTAAAATCATTCCATACATCAAATAGAGTTGACCTATTGCTTAAAGTTTAAGAAAAACAGACCAAAACACAAAAACATAAAATTGAGCAACGAACCATGAAAATGAGGTCAAGTCAAATAAAACCTGCCAGACTGACATGTACATCGTAAAATATTTCCATACACCAAATATAGTTGACCTATTGCATACAGTATTAGAAAAACAGACCAAAACACAAAAACTTAACTTTGACCACTGAACCATGAAAATGAGGTCAAGGTCAGATGACACCTACCAGTTGGGCATGTACACCTTACAATCATTACAACCACCAAATATAGTAGACCTATTGCTTATAGTATCTGAGATATGGACTTGACCATGAAAACTTAACCTTTGTTCACTGATCCATGAAATGAGGTCGAGGTCAAGTGAAAACTGTCTGACAGGCATGAGGACCTTGCAAGGTACGCACATATCAAATATAGTAATCCTATTTCTCTTTATAAGAGAGAAATTAACATTACAAAAAATCTTTTTTTTTTTCAAGTAGTCGCTGAACCATGAAAAGGAGGTCAAGGACAATGGAAATATGACAGACGGAAACTTCATATCATAAGGCATTTATATACAAAGTGTGAAGCATCTAGGTCTTCTACCTTCTGAAATATTAAGCTTTTAAGAAGTAAGTTAACGCTGCCGCCAGATCACTATCCTTATGTCAAGCTTTCTGTGACAAAAGTCGCAGGCTTGACAAAAACCCTTGCAACATTTCTTTGAAGGGTCCATAGGTGACCTTGTGTCAATAACAAATTTATGCCCCACTCCCAACATTCCCATTTAAGCTCACCTGGCCGAAAAGGTCAAGTGAGCAATTTTCATCACTTAGTTTTTGTCGGCCATTAACTTTTACTAAATGCAGTTAAAATTCTTTAGTTAGACTCCTTGTAAGTGTTATTGGAGAAGACGTTGCTAAGTTTTAATACTTGTGTCTGACTCTGATCCATTTATCATTTTGAACAATAAAATATGTTTAAACTAAGTGTTATTGCCCTAAAATGATGATTTTTTACCAATTTTTGTGTTTTGCCTTTTATCTTGATATCTATAATAGATAGAACGAAAGGTACAAGCAAAAATGATCAAAAAGATAAGGTGTACAAATAAGTCAACATGTCCAAAATCGTAAGTCAATTCCTTACATGAGTTATTGCCCTAAAGTGATGGTTTTTATCATTTTTTTTTGCATTTTTGCACATTATCTTGAAAATCAAAATAGATAGAAAGCTTCACAAGCAAAAATGATCAGCAAGATAAGATCTACAAAAAGATCAAAATGGCCATAAGTGTCAGTCGAAACTTTATAAGAGTTATTGCCCTCTGATGATTATAGCGCAATAAGGCAGAAACAGCACACTTTAAGTCCTGGTATTACAATTTTTCAGGACGACAAGAATAAGATGTGGTATGATTGCCAATGAAAAGACTTTCCACCAAGGACTAAAGGACAAGGCTGTGTCTATTTTAAATTCACTGACAACCAAAGTTGTGAAATTTTAGGCTTTTATAGCAATTCCTAGAAATGAATAATTATTATATGATTTTGATATTTACAAATACTGGAATAGGATTAGTGTGTTTTTTTCTTTTGGTTTACACTTCCATGGACAATTATGGTGGAACTTCTTTGGTAACCTATGATTATTTCACTGTGATCTATTCATGCACGATATGATACACATGCAGGGGATCCTGGGGTTATAAGAAAATTGTAAAAAACCAACTACAGACCTGTTATTCCTAACAAACAGGAATAATGCATTAGAGCTTGGAAAATGTACAAAATTACAATAAAATAAAATTCTGTGAAATTTCAAGAATGATCTTAGCACATTAACATCATGGCAAAGTATGGCGTCATATGAACAAATACTCTAAAGCTGAAGGTTATTCTGTCACTTGACCACTTCAATTTTGGATAATATCCCATAAAAATGGAGTTTTTGTGGTAGGTGTTATTTTATTTTAAATTCCTACATCTATGGATTTCAGCAAGACAATATGGCGACTGGCTACTTAGTTGCGATATGTCAACAGTTGATAATACGGCTAATGAAAACAATTCATTATAAAAATTTCAACTGTTTGTGTTTAGAATTATAAGGATTAAACACATTTCTCCTTGAGGCTATTGATGTGTGAACCGGGCTGCTGACTCACAAACTTTACATACTACTAGGCTGGTTTTAACGACCTTGACTGGCTAATAAGCTCTCACACAGTTCTTTGGACCTTTATTGAGTTGTGAGTTGATTGCCCCAGTTTACACATCAATAACCTTTAGAAAAAATATGTTTACTCCTATGTTTCATCTTTTCCTTCAAGTTTCAGCAATCCTTCAAATATTTTGAAGATTATTTACTGTTTGTGCCATGTATCCCTTGTATTGTGTAGAAGTTGAAACCATTACACAATTGACCAATCAATCACCATGACATCACTCAGATCTTTAGTTTTTTTAACATTAATTAAAGACTAATCATATATATATTTCATAATTTATTTCAATAATATAATATAGCATTTGTTTACATAAATAAACCCATCCAAATTTATCTATATAAACAAATAAAATAATTTTTTAAGTACATAATCTGTACAGTGTATAGTATAGAACAAATTCCTTCATAGACTTAAAAGAAAAGGATGGAATGACATTAAAAAAGTGATAAAATAATTTTATAAAATGGAAACTTGCAAATCCTAACAAATGTGATTGTTTTCTTCTATATCCATCTATACATTTTTCCTTTTGTAATGCTTTTTTGTTGTACATATAGTCTTTTTCTTCCGATTGACTTTGTTTTAAATATTGTAGTATAAAACTTTAAAAGCACTGATTTACATCAACAATTAGGAAATTTTCTTATTATCTTTACATCATGTTAGTTTATTCAGCATTTTTAGTTACCAATGTATATAACATTGTGTCTTTCAATTGTTTCAATGTCTCTTTCTAGTTGTTTCATTTCAGCTTCCATTCTTTCTTTCCTGTTTTTCTTTGGAGCGGTATCTGTGACAACAGACAGGCCCTGGTACTGGTCATGAATTTCCTCCCAGTTTGTTTTAAGGCCTTGTAGAATTGCCTGTCGTTCTTCTCCTGATAAAGATCTCATTGCCCCTCGTCTGAAATGTTCTGCTATATAGGCATCATATTCTTCCTGAGCTCTTTTCATCTCATCCTTTCTCTTTTCTAAATATTTTGGTGTTTCACCATAATCCTACAATCAGATAAACCATATTGTATGAATATTCAAACAGAACAAGTACATCTAAATTTCTTCAATGTTGTACATTATAATAGTATATGTGTCATCAACATGACCTCCAATGGGGAAGTTTTCCTAAGTGATTTAAAAAATTTGTCACAGAACCTATTTGAAATTGTTTTCTTCAATATTTAATGTCTTTTTTTAAGTCTAAGTAACAATTTTCAAAATAACTTTCATAACTGGAAGAAAAAACAAATCTATTAATTTAAGAACAAACAATAGTGTAAAATTCTCTCCTTTTTTGCAGAAGAAAACCTAAATCGTAGAATTAAGGACTAATACTGCAATAAAAATAGTTGAAAGTAAATCATCTTATAAAAGCACCATATTAAGTGTTATGGACGAAAAAAACTTATCTTTTATCCTTTTGAGGGTCATAATTACAATTATACATCAGAAAGGATAATGTAAATCTGTACTTCCACTTATAAATGTTTCTTTAAGCAGTAAAGCTGAATGAACTCTAAATATATTATATATTTAAAATTGAGGTTCAGGTGAAAATTTACCTTTCTATGTACATAAACTGGTTCCAGTCCTGATGGCTCCAGCAAGTTTTTGTCTCCTTTCTTTGTGTCAACATATACTTTTTGTGGCATTCTAGGTACAGATGTGATATTTTGGACAGCATTATTAGTGATGAAGTTCTTTGATGTTTTGAGACCCATTAATGGTTGATCTTTAGTTGTAGGTACTGGTGGTCTTTTTCTTTCCTCATCTGGATACCTAAAAGCTCTCCCTGTAATCAAAATGGGAAAACATTAATATACCTATCAGGCAAAGAAATGAAATTGGGCTGTATTTTTTATTTTTTAGAAAATTTTTGTATACAAATAAAACACAAGAATCTGATAATATAAATTTTATACAGATCTATAAATGTATTGAATCAACTAAAAAAGCACTGAAAAAAGTTGGTTGATTTCACTCAAAATTGTGATTTCTTGAAAACTTGTCTTAAGACAAAACAAAACAGTTAATCTCGATATGTAGACTGGAAAAAGTGTCAAAATGACAAAATAAGCAAAACATCATGACATCATCATGCTGCAAAATCAAAGTTTTCATGTTTTTTTTCATTCCCTTAAACTAAAATTAATTGAGCATTAAAAACAAGCCTGATGACCACATGTATTAAAATGGAAAGGTTTACAGCAAATAACATTTTATTTATTAATAAAATTCTTAGGAATTTTCAGAAATTTAATTAGAAAAAATTCCATTTGGTATAAGTTCTACACATTTTACCTAAAATTCACAATTGTCTAATTGATTGTATCTTTAGAAGTGGTACATGTATTTTGTAGAGCTGGCCTCCCTTGCAATTGACAGTGTTTTTGTCAAGGTCTTTAGCTATCTTGATTTGAGGACCTTGTAGAAACTTTGATTATGAACAGAAATGCACTTTCAAAATTTCAAATGATTAACAGATTTTTTTTTACTTCTTGCAACATTTTTAAACTTCTACAATTTTTGTTTTAAAGTAATTTACATTTTTTTATGCTATCATATAACTTAATTATGTTTCATGACCCATGACCCAATTTTTCTTAATTTGAAATAAAAGCAATCCTCTAAATTCCTTCATGATGTAGAATGTTCAAAACCAAAGGTTACTTGAATAAAAAAAAATCACAACTTACTGTCTGGGAGGACAGGTTCTTTTTCATGTTTCTTCATAAAACTTTCTGGTTGTCTCACAGGAACTTTGGCTTGGCCCATTGTCTTGTGATCATCTTTAAGTTTAACATAATCATCCTTTGCAGTATCTCTAAACTTTGAAACATGTCTATAAAAAAAAGTATATATCAATAAATCAGAAATAATATTTTCATAAAAATTGAAACATTTTACTTTTTGTCATTGTTGCATTCATATCTCTATAGTTTTTCTTTTCTTTCAGTTGTGTGGTTTAAACCATTTCCGGTCTGTGTCAAAATGCACATACTTTTTATTTACAGGACAGATATCTTAATATTAGGGTGAATAAAATCTAATGAATGAAAAGACCAAAGGCAAAGCCATGCATTTTATTAATGTTTAGATATGGGCCAATAAATTTTTTTATTTGATTTCTAAAAAGCATTAAACCAGATACTAATATATAGGTCAAATGCATTCTGTTTAACTAAATAGTTATAATGGCCTTCAACATCTAGAGCAAAAGCTCACATTTTACTGCAAGTTGAGGACAGTCCAAGCATCAATTTGAGCATAATTCATTTTTTCATCTCGGTCAGTGTGAAACAAAAGGAAGAGACAAAGATACAATAAAACTTTTATCAATTATTAAATGACACAGCCCATGTGATTGACAGATGGTTCTGGAAAAACCCTTTAATTAATGATTTAATATCACAATTTCCTTTCAATGGGTTCCTTGATATTTTAATAAAACTATTTGTATCTAATACATTTGTATCAGTATTAAAACCAAGTTTGGAAAAAACACTCAAAAAAAGTAGCCAAAAGAACATCATCATAAACCATTTGGCAGTGCTTAAATCTAAAGGGACATACATATCCCTTGTTTGCAGAAAGTGCTATGGACATATGTGTCTCTCGTTAGAATTAGACAAAGAAAAGTATTCCAAACAACCTAATTAAAAAATAATTACAAATTGTTTTACTTGAATACTACTAATAACATATATTTCAGGATCCTTAATTTTAAAAGAATTAATAATAGACAACTTTCAAAATCGTGCAATTTCCCGTTATTTTCCTGTGTCACAATGTTTTTGTTTTTACGTCACAGTAAGAACCGTTTGAGTGATGACATCATTTTCGCCGATCGACATCAGGTCAACCAGTGTTACTCATTCATAAAAAACAACTTGAGATTGGTGTACTATGATCGTGTATGTCAATTTTTTGTCATCATGACAATGTTTCTTCAAATTCTTTAAAACCAACATAGGTGAAAAATACCTTGTTGACTCCGTCGACCTTCACTATAAATTAGAAAAAACATCACAGTCAAAGTGTTAAGGATAAGGAAAAGAAAAAAGTTTGTGTCTTTATTTTCTTTACTTTAGTCTTAAGGGGATCCAGTTCATAAAGGAATAAAACCTAACCCATATCTAACCCTATAGTCCTTAACCTAAAACATAAATTAAAATGCAAAAATACCAAGCAAAATATCAGATTTTTATAGATATATTTATTAAAGCTTATTTATATATTCAGTATTATCTTGAACAATCAGATTTCAAATTAATCAATTCGCCAATAGTTCTCAATTATTTGATCATTACCTTGGTGCTTTCTCTCTTTTAATCTCTGCTTCAGGAATCAACCCATAAATTGTTGGTTCGTCGTCTCTTGTATACATCTTAATATCTCTGATTTTGTTCTATACACTGTACACACAATAAGAAAACTGATCCAGATAAATAAACTTGAGGCCGTTTCCAGGAAGTACGTCACCAAAGGCCGATAACTCCAATTAAAATATTATGTCCCCTGAAATTTATTTCCCGCTAAAACTTCAAACGTAAACATAAACCAGATTAGCCTTTGCCTTGGTAACATGAGTAAATCAAAAGACGCACAAGGTTATAAGTAACAAAATATATAACATTATGTTCACTTATTTATTATATAGGTACCAACTTTCCCTGTCAAAACCCGTCACATGTTCACTTGGTGACATCTGGGAACAGTATATCTAATATGTCAATATATATGTTCCTGGTGACATTCATAATTTTAAACTACACTCCTCTTACTTTCTAACACATTAAGCTTAGACATAGACATATATACTTATGTATATATGCCTCTGGCTTAGGAGATGACTATTTAATAATTTGGGGGGTGGGCTGAAAATAAATATGATAATGATGGCCTGTTAAGAGCTGAAAATAAATAATATCGCTAAAACAGGATCTATAATTGAATATTCTTTGCCTTTGGGCCACTGATAAAGACCCAAATTACTGTCAAAGACAATTCTAGATCGAATTCTTCTGTCTCTATAGCATATATTTTCTGATCTTTATTTGCTTTTTACAATTTTTTGTAGTAATAGCAGCAAAAGAAATTAGAAAAAAACACAAAAATAGTAAAAAGCAAATGAACATCAGGAAATATATGCTATATCTGAGCAGGAACATATATATTGACGGGACTTGACACTACATGATTGTAGTCGATTTTATCGTCGTGCCATAGTTAATAAAGTTACGATACAGAAACGGATATGTGTTAAAAACGGACTCGCTATTATCCTAATAATTTCTGATATTATCAATAAAATGTCATTCAAACTTGTTTTATAGTGATGCTAGTGTATCAAACTTGTATTCTGTCACATCAAATTTGTTAAAATCGCAAGCATTTTATCACAGAATTGTGCAGAATGCAAACCAGGTAATAAAAAAATGGCGGTCATTGCCGCGATGATTTACAAATTCCCAAACTATTATAAAACACTTCACATCAAATAAATCAAACTTATTTTGGTAATTTTATATGACAAAATATATCTACTAAATGATAAAACTAGTATTTATTTACAATTAGAGTTATGTGGTTTATTTGTTGAGCAGTTCTGATAGTTTTTCAGTCAGACGCTACCAAAATCCGTAAATCTCGGGAAGTCTCGGGGAGTCCAAGATTTTATCAATTTTATACTGAAAAGCGTATCAGATTCATTTCCCGTTAGATATACTGTTCCCAGATCTGAGACTACTATAACACTATGTGTTATAGTAGTCTCAGGCTATATAGAGACAGAAGAATTTGGTCTAAGGCAACTCAGACCACTTTTAAAGACAAAATGGACATTTGAAAGACTAATCAGACCACTTACAAATTGTGGGTGATCTCATGCCATGGCAAAACTAAAGAGTTTTAGACAAACAAGACCACTTACAAAGAAATAATGGACCCATTTGAAAGACTCCTTCGACCACTTAATTACAACTTTGAGGTAAAATGAAAAGACAAACATATATCTGCTGTATGTTTTAAATGTAAAAGTATATTTGTTGGGTAAATAGATGTTCATCTGTTTATCAATGTTTATGCCTTCTGTACTTACCTTTGAGTTTGGTGTTTTTTTATTACATCTTTTTTGATGGATCTGAGTTTTTTTTTTTTATAAATGTGAAAAAAGGGTAATTAAACATTACTTCAAACACATTGATGAAAGAATGAATATTTTATCGTAGAAGTAAACATTATGCTATAGCCATGATAGCGAAATAACATAATACATGAAACAACCATCAAAATTCCAAACACATTAACCAGTCAATATAAATTAACCTATTATCTTCCAGTTAATTAGTGATCAGCCTAATTCATCTAATTATCATGATTATGTTTATTAGTAGTAAAGAATTGAAACCCAGAAGCAGAAACTCAATCCCACTTCTGATCAAATAATTTTCTCCTGCATTCTTTAAAAATGGTCCTGCATTTGTGTAGATGTCCTATGTCAGTATGTGATGGAAAAGTTCTTCCAATGGTCTTTGAATCTGATAAGATGTGCCCTTAGATGTGGTCTGAAAACTTTCAGATTTGTTAGTCTCGCATGTTGACTGATTGGAGTTGATTTAGAATTATTCTGAGTTGTCCTGATTCCTATGATAATCCCAAATGAGATATAAATTCCTCTGCAAAAGAAAAATATTTTTTGATTTTTGGGGAACATTATATAAATCTAGTTTTGATTTATATAATGTTCCCCAAAAATCAAACATTTTTTTCTTTTAAACTACATAGTTTTATATTTCTGGAGTAAAAATAAATGAATTCAAAAGAGAAGATACTATTTCTTTCCAATGAATTGAAAGGATTTAAAACTAAAAATGTTAAAACATTATGTAATACAAATGTATATTATTTTCTGGGAAGTATGCTAATGCATGATCTGTCACGTCAGTGTGAAACTGTTGGTGAAGATTAGGAAAACATATATTCAGTGTTAAAATTTGTTTTCTAGAGTAAATAAGATTTAATACCATGTCTGACATGTTTGTACATGTCATATTTAACTTGGTTAATTACAAATAACTATATTTATATAAAGGACTGGCAAATGAAATTAGATATCTAATTAGATTTTTACTAACATGACTAATTGTAATTGAAAGAGTATTTACCATTTAAACTGACATGATTTTTGTTCTACTGATGTCACTAGTGTACATGGTGTAATTTATGAGTCATTATACATGTACTTGTACATATGCTAGCACAATTTTATAGTATGGAAATAAAAAGAAGAAAAAAGGTGCTAAAAGTTCAAATGTTTGATTTTCAAAACATTGTGAATAATTTATACTTCAGTACCTTTTTATGCCCCAAAAAATATTTACAAACTAGTTCAAAGGGTCAAATTATCTATTCTTCAACCTTATTGCTTATTGTATTTAGTTGGTTCAAAATGACCAAGTAAAGGAACATTTACTAATGAGATGGATTAATACACAATGAAATGCGATTCAATTTTGATACATGTATGGGTTAAATAAAACCATATCAAACATGTGCATGCATAATGTATACATATAAAGCAACTATGTAAACAGATACACGAGCAAACCTGATTTAAGTATTATCACTGCTCTCACATGTATCATAAGTAACAGTTCTACCATTTAACATTAGTGGGAAGTTTATTTTCTCTGTGATTCTGAGATAGAGTTAGCACTGTGATGATAGCAGTGGTAATGTTACTTGTAAAAAGAGATCAGTTAACATGGTCAAAAGAATAGTAGCTAAGGAGAAAATTACTGTCATGACTGGAGAGTGATGTGTTGAATGTTATTGGAACGGGGACCCAATTATTTCCCCCATTACTTCAATGCAATTTTATCATAATTGAGGTGCAGATTTTTTATTCCATGCATTAGACTGCAAAATTTTAACTACTTTGTCATACTAGTAGCCCCCTCCATCATGTCCATGGTTTCTTGGAGAATTCTTGAAAGGTCATGACCGTCATTTAAGAAAGCAATACTATTTTGAGTATAAATAGGGTAATTTTATTAACTTCCTGGTCAAAATCGAAAATAAAATCTGGATCATTTACTCATGCAGACAATCATCCACCCTATACATTTCAGAATCACTTAAAATTTAACAGAATTTGAAAGTTTAATGAATACCCTTTGGATATACTACAATTTAAGCAGCTTTACACAATTTTCATCTCGGTACAATATACCATTTAAAAGATGGTAGATTTTATTAAGGGACTTCATTTGTGGGTACTGGACATATCCTGTAACTGGGATCCTATTCCTATTGGTGTTTTGGCAATTTTGTATTTAAGTGTTATAATTCCAGTGACATGGTGTCCCTAAAAGAAACAGAGACTCCAGATTGTTTGTAAAGGCTGTATTGCTCATGTTATTATGCCTTTCATATAATTTTTTTTTTCTTGAATTCTTTGGTTGCACTCTGTTTGATATTTAACCATAGTTCTTAACCAACAGCATCAATTGTATTGACCAACACATACTTCGTTCTGTACTTGATTTCTCTTATTTCATTAACATTACCCAGTACCGTCTTCTGACGGATATAGGGTGTATATAACATTTTGTACAAAAAAGATACAATGAGGAGAATCCATTCAGACTATCTGAACAAATTTAAATACAACCTATCATGTCTGTAGTTTTTAAAATATCTATATTATGTTTTGTATTTACAGCTTCCAGGGCAGTGTTGGACTACTTGAATAAACAGAACAGACCCTACAGTGCCATTGATATTTGTAACAATTTACATAAGGAACATGGTAAAACTGTAAGTTTGATACAATTTGTGGGTAACTGTACTTCCAGTCGCAATTTTATTTCAAAATCATAGTTGGAAGCAATTAACACCATACAATTCAGTATAGTACTGCTGTACAATAGATGATATATTTTGTCTTGCCTGTCTTGGAACGTGGAAGGATGCCAATCCCTCAGTGGTGATGGCAATAGCTCTTTGCATACAGTTTTATATTTCAGAAGGTAAAATACTATATTTGGTGTAGGGAATAATTGTATGGTGTACAATGTTTGTCTGGAAGGGTTCACCTGATCTCTACCTTATTTCATGGATCAGTGATCAAGGTTAAGTTTTCATGGTCATATCTGTGTCACAGATACTATAACAAATAGGTCAGCTATATTTGCTGTATGGAATGATTGAAAGGTATTCATTTCTTCCTGGCAAGGTTCAACTGACCATGACCTCAGTTTCATGGTTTATTGGTCAACATTAAGTCACTTAGTCACTATCTCATACACTATTAGGAGTAGGTCAACTATATTAAGGGGTATATAGAATAATTGTAAGGTGTACATGTCCACCTGACTGGGTTCACATGAATTTGAATTAAGTTTTCTTGTTTCATTGGTCTATGTTAAGTTTTCATTATGAAGTGCATTTTTCTCAGATACTTTAAGCAATAATTACCCATAAAATTGCATTTAAGTTTGCATACTTAACCACACAATTTGAACTTCGTGACCTGCCCCACACCCATACAAAAATAATTTAAGTGCCTTCCAACACGCCATATATATTTTTCTGGAATAGCCCTAAGAGAATATGGACTAAAAAATGATATTTTAACTTAGAATGTGAACTATAGACTGATGTTTTTACTTATATTATACTATATATAGTCGCTTAAGAGTTGGGGCTATATTGTATTCAACTTGTCTGTCTGTCTGTCACACTTTTCTCTCAGCTACCAGAAAGACTTTATATTTGGTAAGCAGCTTGACTTTGATGAGTTGTAATGTGTGAACACTTTTCAGATATGTCATACAGCTGCTTCCTGTTTGCTGATACTTTAAACTTTTCTATATGTTGAATGAACTTTTGCTTTTTCGTTACATATTTCTCTAGTACATGTACTAACTATTGAACAGAATGACCCCATATTTGGTCCTCAGTCAACTGAGATGAGTTGTAACATGAAAGCACTTTTTATATCTGTCGGACACTTTTTTCCTGTTTTCCAAAGCTTTCAATTTTTAGTTGTGGTCTGCTCAACACAACAATGTGTGCATTCTTGTTTTAGGCTATTATTGAATCATTTTTCGAAATAGACAAGCATTTACACTTCTTTTTCAGGCCATAGTTAAAGCATGTGAAGTTTTAACAGAAGAAGGTAAAATAAAGGAAAAAATCAATGGTAAACAGAAATGTTACTTTGCTGACCAGGTGAGCTGATCAACACTTTGATGGTGTGTTGACTTTGCCAAAACTGTCTGAAATATCAGTTAACATGTCTACATAAAGCTCCGGTTTTGAAAATTTCACTTATCAGCTGATAAAAAAAATATATGACCAAATTATACTCTATAACAACACTTGTCTTTTTAAGCCATTTACCCACTGCTCTCTTATTTTTAGCTCACTTTTCCAAAGGAAATGTGAGCTTTTGCCATCACTTGGCGTCCGTCGTCACCTTCCGTCTTGTGTAAAATATTTAAAACATCTTCTCCTCTGAAACTACTTAACCAATTCCTACCAAACGTAAGCCGAATAATCCTTAGGGTATCTAGAATAAAGTGTGTGTTTTATTTTCTGTTTTGTCAAAAAACATGGCCGCCAAGGCTAAAAATAGAACATAGGGGTAAATCATAGATCAGGAGTAAAAAGGTTACTAGGTCAAGTTCTATCAGCCCTGAAATATTCAGATGAATATAACAACCCATTGTTGGGTTGCTGCCACTAAATTGGTAATTTTAAGGAAATTTTGCAGTTTTTGGTTATTATCTTGAATATTATTATAGATAAAGATAAACTGTAATCAGCAAAAATGTTTAGCAAAGAAAGATCTACAAATAAGTTTTTATATGACCAAAAATTGTTAATTGACCCCTTAAGGAGTTATTGCCCTTTAAGGATAATTTTACAGAATTTGTTTATCATGTTTTCTAACTTTAAAAAATCCTCTCCTCTGAAACTACTGAACCAAATTAAACAAAAATTAAGCTGAATGATTCTTAGGTTATCTAGAATAAAATATTTGTTTTATTTTCTGTTTTCTCTGAAAAAATGGCCACCATGGCTAAAAATAGAACATAGGGTGAGATGCAGTTTTTGACTTGTATCTCAAAAATTAAAGCATTTAATCAGACAAGAACTTAAAGTATTCATAAGGTCAAGGTCTACCTGCCCTGAAATTATCAGCCAAATCGGGTATCTGATTTTATGTTTTTGCCCCTGAATTGATGATTTTAAGGAAATTTTGCAGTTTTCAGTTATTATCTTGAATATTATTATAGATAAAGATAAACTGTAAACAGCAAAAATGTTCAGCAAAGTAAGATCTACAAACAAGTTTTATGTGACCAAAATTGTCAATTGACCCTTTAAGAGTTATTGCCCTTGGGCTGAATGAGTTTCAGAGTATCTAGTATAAATTTTGTATTGTATTTCCTTGTACGTCAAGAAACAGCCACTATGGCTAAAATGGAACATAGGGGTAAAATGCATTTTTTTGCTTTTGAAGAAAATATGTTAGATACAAAGAACATTTAAATGGTATTTTAAGCCATTCATTAATATATATTAAAAAGCAAAAATAATGAAAGGTTTAAACAAAAAATTACAGGTGAGCGATTCAGGCTCTTGAGAGCCTCTTGTTTCTTGGGCTTTTTTTTTTTTGCTTTCTGTAACATCTCCTCTGCTCTTGACAAGCTGTTATCCAGGGCTCTCATATTTTAAGCTCACCTGGCCCGAAGGGCCAAGTGAGCTTTTCTCATCACTTGGCAACTGGCGGTGTTAAATTTTACAAAAATCTTCTCCTCTGAAACTACTGGGACAAATTTATCCAAACTTGGGCACAATCATCATTGGGGTATCTAGTTTTAAAAATGTGTCCGATGACCCCGCCTGCCAAACAAGATGGCCCACATGCATAAAAATAGAACATAGGGGTAAAATGCAAGTCTTGTCTATTATTTTGAAAACTGTTATAAATAGTGAAAATCTGACAGGGCAAAAATGTTCTGAATGTTGAGCTCTACCAATTGTTTATATATGTCAAAACTGTCAGAAGACTTCTTATAGGAGTTATTGCCCTTAAATTACAAATTTTACCATTTTTTTTATTTTTGCCTACTATCTTGAAAACTATAATAGATAGGGAGAAACTTCAAATTGCAAAAATGATCAGCAAAACAAGTTCTACAAATAAGTTAATATGGTCGAAATGGTCAGTCGACTCCATATTAGAGTTATTGCCCTTTGATGATAATTTTTACCAATTTTTTGCGTTTTTGCCTTACATGATGTATATCTTAAAAATTATAATAGATAGATAAAACTTAAATAAGTAAAAATGATCAGCAAGACAAGATGAACAATTTAGACTAGTGGAGGAAATCGTCCGACAACTCCTTATTGGAGTTATTGCCCTTTAAAGACTATTGTAACCATTTTTTTGTGTTTTGCCTTGTGTGATAGAAATTATAACAGATGAATAGACACTTTAAATCATCAGCAAGGCAAGATCTACTAGCAAGTCAAATTTTGCCGATATAGTTAGTAGACTGTCACTCTTTATAGGAGTGATTGCCCTTAAATGAGGATTTTTTTACCCTCTTTCGTCTTTTAAGCAAAAACTAAAGGAAATAGAGAGAAACTAAACAGACTAAATGATCAGCAATCCAAGATCAACAAAACAGATTTTTGTCATGAATTTTATTCTCCTCTACAATGTTGGAAAGTGTCCTTTGTTGAATATGCACATAGACCAATGTGAGCGACACAGGCTCTTAAGAGCCGCTAGTTTTCTCAGGCTGCCTGTTTTTTTTTGTTTGTTTTTTTCTATTGCTTGCCCTCTCCATGAATATGACTGATTGAAATCTCAATTGTTGCCACTTAAATGAAAATTTCTCTGTAAACTCTGCATTAATTTCAAGGATATGCTTAAAATATACTAGATTTCTATAGATTTGTAGCAAAAACAAGATATTTTAAAACTACTATGTATGGTAAGATGTGATGCTTTATTTGTGGTATGTATATTTAAATTGAAGCTGTAAATAGCCATAGTAATAAACAATCATGTAGTTGATTTCATTTATGGTATCCTGCATATGCTAACACTTTTCTTAACCCCTCCGCCCCCAATCCCGCCTGTAGTCGTGATTGCAACCACCATTCTTTGATGGCCCGTATGACCCTCCATACTTTTTTAAAACAGCCCCAGCTGAACTGTTTTGACAGCCGGGAGTTCTGTCATGTAGTTCATGGTCCATAAACTCTTCCCAGATGTGTGTTTATGAAAATATGACAACTGTAACGGCCTTTTTAGAGTTCAAAACCAGAAAAAGGTGAAAAGTAGCCAAAATCAGGTGGGGGTGGGAGTCTTTTGATGGTCAACACGTTACTAGTATGGGCTGTAGGTGTTAACTATTATCATAAATGCATGCATAGGAAGTACACAAACACAAGGAGGTATAATTGGCCAAAAGAAATCTGATCTGTAAAATCTAGGTCACTGTTTTGTCAGAAATCTGTAAAAACGAATATTTAGGCAGACCTGCCTTGCCAATAATTCCCCAGCAAGGCACTCAAGTCACATTTACATCCAGTCAGTATGGATGGACTGCTGTAACTATAAGGTTATAATTGAATGACAAAGAAACACAGTTTGGTCAATGTTCACCTCTCAAGGTCGTATTGAAATCGAAAAATAGACATGAAAATGACGATTTTTCAGAAGGGGTGGGTTCCACCCACCAGAAAATAAACCATCTCCCTCCACCCATGCCGTCTGCCACCGTTTTGTCAGAAATCTGTAAAAACGGACATTTAGACAGACCTGCCTTGCCAATAATAATTCCCCAGCAAGGCACTCAAGTCACATTTACTTCCAGTCAGTATGGATGGACTGCTGTAACTATAAGGTTATAATTAAATGACAAAGAAACACAGTTTGGTCAATGTTCACCTCTCAAGGTCGTATTATAATTGAAAAATAAACTGAAAATGACGATTTTTCAGTAGGGGTTTGGTTCAAACCCACCAGAAAATATATTACCTCCCACCCACCCCCACCCCGAATGTTATTTTTTATGCAAAAATAATAAATGAAAAAATCATACGGCAGACAGCATTATTCAACAACCACTGAATTCACTGTAAAAAAACTGTGGCAAGGGTTTGATTCACTTTCAGCACAATGCACAAAAACAACTTACAAAAAGACAAAAGATATAAGTACAGATCAAAGAATACTCAGTTTCCGAAAGCTTATTCAAATAGAAATAAGGAGATGTGGTATGATTGCTAATGAGACAGCTGTCCACCACAGTCCAAGTGATGTGGATGTAAGTAACTTAATATAAGTGTAAAGCCTTTGACAATGAGCGAAACTCATACCATATAGTCCTGCTATGAAATGGTCCCAACATAACAAAATGTGAAACAATTCAAAGGAGAAAACCATGTCAAATACAACTAACAAATGAATTATGTTTTCCCTGACTGAAATATCAATCAGTAAACTTCCAACAAATTGAATATTAAGATGTCATTGACAATTTGAAAAAGCACGACCTTGTGCAATGCCAAAACCATGAGTTCAACATTTTTTGTATGGGTTACAAAAGTTGAGTTGATTATATTAAATTGTACGACGATCATTCATATTAGATTTAATATTTTAACCTCGTACATATTTATATGCTTTAAATTTCTCTGTGCAAAAAAGGTTAAGACATTTAGCAATTTATTTACCTTTAACTTGAGAGAAGTTTAATTCTATAGTTTACATTTAGACATTTTGATTTTGTGACATAGTCACAGTTTCCAGAAGTGGATGACAGTGAGATAAAAGAAATGGATGTTAAAATCATCAAATTATCTGAACTTGTACAGAGTAAACAAGAAGAAAACAAAAAACTTGAGACAGGTAAGAATGACAGAATGATTGATAAAGATTTAAAGCTATGTTGGGGCAAGAATAAATTTAATAAAATTGCATAATTGAAAGTAGGATGAAAGACCAATATCATAGATAAAAATGTTGTTTAAAACAATTTTACTGTTCACATGTAACAGAAAACAATAGTAAACTAACTTTTCATACATGAATCTAATATTTTATTATTTCAAAAATGCAAGATTTTTTTTTAATAAGGAACTTTTAAAGATATCCAATTTGAATTATGTGAGGGTGTGGAATATGTTATCTTGCTCTCTAAATGTTCTTTCATTTTGTTACCATTTAACAGTGATAACCTGGATAAGCTGCCAGAGTAGGCAATACATTGTACAATCAATAAAATTTGAGTATAATAAAAAAAAATTCTTCTTTTGACAGAGCTGAGAAGTTTGAATAGTTCTATTTCTACAGAAGACGCACAGAAAGAACTTCATTCACTCAATGAAGAAGTAATATTTTTACTTTAAAGGATCTGAATCAGTCTAGCAAAGAAAGCAAATTGGAGATATAAATCAAAGTACTGAAGTACTGAACATCGGATGACCACAAGTTCTTGAGGATGGTCAAAAGCACTTGTCTCAGAAAAAAACAACATATCTCTTTACCTAAAACTGAGGTTTATGTAATGAGATATATTTTTTTCTGAGACAAGTTCGTGCGTGGATGATGAATAAATGACAGGAAATTCAACTTCACCGTAATAACTATTATATTGTAGTGATACAAATCAGTATACACTGAGTTGTTGTTTATATTATATTAAAATAACAGTTACATATATATATGATTTGAATCCATTTGTATATCATTCTATTCTACTATTCTAAAAATAGTGCAATGCAAGTGCATGGTGGACACTTTTCTGTAAAAATTCGATTTTTCTAAGATTGGATACGAGTAGGCATTCATATTTTCCCGCAAAATCAATTACAGAGTTACCGGTCCTTGACGGTATTTTCACAAAACGTTCTTTGAGATATTCTTCCGCATGCTTTAACACAATTTTTCGGTACGTGTGCATTGATATTATCAATGATTTTTTACTTATATATATATATCTAACTACAAAACATTTTCATATTATTAATTTATGTTGTAAACAAAAATATTTTTATCAGTATTCATTGAAGAGATGTATTTATATCAAACGATAAGGAATGTTATTTTGCACTCGTTTATGTGCGCGTATTTATCATGTTCATAGATCGGTTACAAACCCAAAACTAATTTACATAATGGAAATCTAGGCGATAGCAATACATCGGGATGACCTCAAGGTCATCGCGATGTAAAAATTGGAAGTTTGAAAACGGCATGGAGACAAAAGTTTAAGGGGAACCATGTAGAATGCCTCAAGCAGTGTGTTTGCTTTGTTCGACAAGGGGTGGGGGCTTTGAAACAAATATAAAAGAATTGACGTAGACAGAAGTTTAGAATTCTTTTTTTTTTTGAGATTTGTTAGTACAGAATCATATATTTCAAAGCAGGTACTGGCCAATTATCAATTTCTCTAAATCAATTGCAGATGTCCTCAGTACTCAGTTTTTATGATCACAGATTCTGAGACTTTTGGATAAAAATTCATTTTGAGAGACCCATATCTATATATTTTTATTATAAAAATGAATTCATGTTATAGTATGAGGCTTATTGACAGCTTGCCAACAAACTTCTTGGTTTTAAAGTTATTTTACCTTGAAATGTAATATGGGCAAGGGACAGCAGATTTCGTTTCTTATGGGATGAGGCATTTATTAGAAAAAAAGCTGTAAGTCTGCAAGTCTATCTTAAACTCTGTTCTACAGGGAAAAAAACTAAATTTAACGTCAAAATATGAATAATGTTTTTGCATTTTTTAGCTCATCTATGTGAGCTTTTGTCATCAGTTGGCAACAGTCTCCATCATCCATCTGTCCTTCATCATAAACTGTTAAAAAAATCTTCTCTGAAACTACTAGGCCAAATGTTTCCCAGTTTTACCTGGATGTTACTTCAGGGTTTTTACTTTGAAAATTGTATCCAGGGAGTTGATCCATCATAAACACGACAACTGTTGCTAAAAATAGAAGATAGGGATAAAAAGCATATTTGGCTTATATCTAAAAAAATTAAAGCAGATAGAGCAAATCTGACATGGAAAAAATGATCATCAGATCAAATTCTATCACATACAGAATTTTCAGGAAAATCGGACCACCTGTTTTGGAGTTATTGCCCCTGAAATGTCAATTTCTAGTAAACTCAAATTTTTGGCTTTTATCTCAAAAACTTAGGCAGTTAAAGCAAATCTAACATGGGGTTGAATTAATTATCAGGTCAAGGTCTATCTCCTGCGAAACTTTCTGAAAAATCAGTCAACCCATTTTAAAGTAATTGCCCCTGAAATGTCAATTTTTTGCAAATTTCACAGTTTTTGGTTACTACCTTTGATAGTTTAAACAAAAGAGTGCAGTGAAGTGATCATTTTTTTTAGATCCTATCAAGTCAATGTCACTCAATTAAGAAAATATTTTATTTTTAAAAATTACATAGGTTGATACATGGTGTATGAATCTGTTATAAAAATAGGTTCAACTACTGAATTTAAATACTGGATGAAATACAAACTTTTAAGTATTAAAAGAAAAGCATGGTAAAATGTAAATTGATACTGTTTCAATCTGGTCACATTCAACAGGAATGTATGTTATAGAAATTGTGTTGTTGTTTCCATTGCAGTGTAAAAACTGTAAAGAAAAGTTAGCTAGCCTAAAAGGAGGAGCTGTACAGATATCTCCTGCAGAAAAAGACAGGGTAATAGATAATGAATTAAGATTATGCAAATCATCATGATTATTAAACATCAGAACAAACTTGCACCAAGAATTACAATCAACTTGTCATAGAGATTCAAACACACAGAATACAGTAGGCTTGATTGCTAAAATTGACAAAGGCACCTAATATTGTCACGTTACCATTAACTCATTTAAATGGATCATTGAAAAATGTTAAGTTTATGTGACACTAGTGGTAAAACCTTAATATCAAAAACATTCAACATAAATTCCATCATAATCCATAAAACACGTGAAACATTTCAGCATGTTCACTCTTTTTTGAGAGTTAATATGTTTAATAGGACAACTATATTTGCATATAGAATCATTGCAAGGTATAGATGTCTGTCATTTCCTTGATAATTGATCTGTTAAGTTTTTGTGGTCAGGTCTGTTTCTAAGATGCTATTAGCAATAGGTCAATTATATTTGGTGTATGATTGTAAGCTGTACATCATAGTCTGGTAGAGTTCATATGAACTTGACATTATTTTCGTGGTTCAATGTTCAATATTTTTTTCTGGATAACTCCATTTCTCAGTTTTTTGTTGAAATAGATTTTGGAAATGAGCATTTCCCCTATTTTAAGCCTTCAATTACATGTCCTACAAAAGTACAACAGGCAATGCCGATAAAACAGCACTCTACAACTTTTAATTTATCATTTGTATTGAAAGAAATTTCATTTTACATTGTAGATATATAAAATGAGAGAGAAGTTTGTTAAAGAATGGAGGAAGAGAAAAAGAATGGTAAAATAACTTAATTTGTGCCCAAAGAAATTGCAGTTAAATATTGTAATAGTTTTTTTTCCTTTTGTAAATCTCTTATGGACTTCATATCACCTAACTTGTCTTTCATTAACAATTTTTCTCAACAAATGCATGCAAATACTGCTTTAACATGAGCACTAATCCACTGAAAAGAATAATCCTTTGCAATTACAGAACTTGTTTGAATATTTGAAACTGTTCTATATAGTTTTGGTAACCTTTGCCTTAACTATTCAATGCCTCATCATTATGAGAAGGAAAATATTTCCTAGCAATCTATAAACATTAACAAATTAGATTATGTGGTTCTTCAAATTGGTGATGACCCCAAGATTTATAATATGAAAATAACACTTCATAAATTTGGTGTACATGAAACACTTTTCACTTTGTAACTTGGAACATTGACAACATTGTTTTCAATATAATTTTCTTTGACAGACAAATGATGTATTAGGTGCGATACTGGAAGGATATCCCAAAACAAAGAAACAGTTATATGTAAGTATTAAATCTCTGAAAAAAAGGTGGCTGAAGATACAAACAACAGTGGTGGATCCAGGGGGGGGGGGGGTTCCGGGGGTTGGAACCCCCTTTTTTTTTATATCAATGCATTTAGATGGGAACATATAGTTGGAACCCCCCCTTTATCCTGGGTTAGGAACCCCCCTTTTATAAATGGCTGGATCCGCCCCTGAACAACAATCCACAAAATACTACACAGAAAAAGACAGATTGAGCAAACCCCTACCAAAAACCATGGGGGAACTCAGGTGCTAAGGAGCTGTACAAAGTTTCTTCTCCACTAGTGGCACCCATTGTGGTACTCACATTTGGTTATGTCATTAAGGAGAAGGACAGTATTGTGGCTATTACAAGTGGAACATATATGTGTTCATGTTCAATAACAGTCAACCAAATCATGGTGGAGTCTCTAAACCTTTTGAAGATATTACTAACAAATTCATCATCAAGAGCTCTTTGATTCAATAGCTTCCCAGAATGGAGCATCCTTCTATCGAGAAATCGTGATAGGAAATGAAATCCCTAAAATATTGTATCAACTAGGACATACACCACTTATTGCAAAAAATATTTATTGAAAACTCATATTTCTAGAGTTGTCTAAACCTTTTCTTTATGCCTGCAGTTATTGATTTGATTTTTTGGTACTTTAAATTATAAAAAATAGGCTGAACATACCAAGGAAACAGTAAAAACATACAAGTCAAACAGAAACTGACAAGGCCATGAAAAAAATAAAAGAAGACAAAATGACAAAATTCCACAACTACATATAAAACAAATGACTGAGCAACACAGACACCACCAAAAACTGGGACAGATATTAGGTGATCCAGAAGGTTGAGTGTATACGAGTTCATATGTACAGTCAGAGTTGTGTGTTGGTTTGTATGAACTATTGTCCTGTCCAATATTGTTGGTAGTTGGTTGGTGTGATCTATTGTCCTGTCCAATATTGTTGGTAGTTGGGTGTTGGTTGGTGTGATCTATTGTCCTGTCCAATATTGTTGGTAGAGGGGTGTTGATTGGTGTGATCTATTGTCCTGTCCAATATTGTTGGTAGTTGGGTGTTGATTGGTGTGATCTATTGTCCTGTCTAATCTTGTTGGTAGTTGGGTGTTGATTGGTGTGATCTGTTGTCCTGTCTAATATTGTTGGTAGTTGGGTGTTGATTGGGGTGATCTATTGTCCTATCCAACTTTTTTGGTGATTCCTGTTATCCTTTTTATGTATAACAGACTTTTGGCAGAATTACATTCCACGGACTTTGAAAATTTCATGAACATTGTACCTGTCCAGACTTTTTGGGGTAAAAATGCCTGCATATCTTTGGTTTGGTTTTTGATACATAAGTGAATTAATTATCAATTTTGTGTTTCCTTCCATTTGACTGACTTTTAGCAAGGCTCCAGTCTGGGAAATTTTTGCCGTACCAAAACATTTAGTGTTTGTCTGATTCTAGGAATCATTAGTTCACATAGCATATTAAGAAGATGAGGGATAAGCATCAGCAACCCAATGACACAAATAATCATAGACATTTGGAGATCAGCATGTGTCTTCTATTTGTCAAGCTCTAAATCTTCCATAATCTAAAAATGAGAGTTTTAACAGAGAGTATCTAAATATCTATTTCGCTAAAATGTAAAAATACCATTAAAATATTTTTTCATGAGCTGATTGAAGTTTTTAATGCCAAGTGTTATTAATTACTAGTAAAAGTGTTGTAGTTTGTGATAACTGGTTGGCTATCTTCCACAATATGCTTTTGATATATACTGCTGGATAATAAGCATCCATCAATCAATCAATATATTTAAGTACTGTTCCAGCTAAGAGTCAGGCAGAGCATGGTACATTGATATCACAAAATTGCATCTTAAGTTTTCTTTTTATAACACCTTACCCATATTATTATTTTTCATTGTTCAAATCTTTTTAATTTTTCACCGTTTCCATGGTAACGCAAGATAAGGTAATACTGCTTGAAAGGTCATTGAAAACATCAAAATTCACTAATTTGACTATATTTTTAATGCAAAATAATCACATCCAGTTAAGAAATGGCAAAAACAACTAAAGTATATGTTAAAAAGTTACATTTAAGAATGCATTTCTATACATGAACATCTCCTATCTTACTTTCTATGTTAACACTAATGTTTTCTGTTGAACATATAATCAGAGAAAGCGAAATTGTCCAAAAAGGCTGTTTTTTGACATTTTTGAACAATGGCTTAAAAAAAAAACACATTCACAGGAACATTTCATTTATTGATATTAAAACCAATGCTGTTTTTGAATATTTTGATGAAAAAAAAAAATCGTGTTTTTTTATTTTTTGCCGGAAAAAAGTTTATCAAAATAACTTCAAATTTCACGGCACAACAGATAACCATTTTGACCCTTGAAATTGACAATTAAAAAAAATATTTACTTAAGTAAACTGAATCAAAACATTTGTCAATCAAATACTTCAGTTATCAATTCTGTTCATTGTTTTCAACTTTTGATGACCTTGACCTTAATATAATGACCTTCAACAAATTGCCTTACTGCTAAAATTTCAGAAAAAAAGGGGATCATCGGAACCCTTTTTTGCTATTTCACAATACAATGCTTCATATAATGAAGACCAGCAAAATAACATGAACTTGGTTAGAATTATAAGTTAATGGCAACATAAACAATCAGTTGTCTACATGGGTGCGAGTATTTAAAAGATTAAAAACTAGAGGCCCACAGCCTAAATAGCTCAAACTGGAGGCAAAAAATTTCAAAAATCACTTTTTAAAAAATTCACAATTCATATGCCATAATCCAAAAGATAGTCAGATTGTTATGATATATTGAGGGTGTGTAGTTTTCATCCTTATTTATTTAATCTAACTACACCTTGCATCAAGCTACAATATATATATGTATCTAAAGCTTTAGAGGAAAAGTAAAATTGGAAATAAAATGCTCCACTGGGCACAGCTTGATACTACTGCAAAGGTCGAACCCTGAACAGTTGGGGCAAGTATGGACACAACATTCAAGCTTGATACAGCACTGAATTTGGATTGTGATTAAATATTTGACACAGCATAGGTTTCTGACACAGAATGAATGTGGTCTAAGAACTTTAAAAAAATTAATTTACCTATTCAAACCATATCATCATTATTTGCTTTTATATATAAATCAGAAATAACCAATTTAAAATGGAAAATTTTAAAGAATAAAAAAGGAAAAAAAAATCCCCCCCCCCCCAAATTTTTTGAACCTTATGATTCATCAACCCCAAACTCAATCCCAGCCTTCCCTTTGTGGTATGGTACCTTGCAGTACAATTTCAGAGAGATCCATACACTTGAACACAAGTTATTGTCTGGAAACTAGAAAAATGCTTGTTTTTTTTGCCCCCATATTCCTAAACGTTTAGGGCAATTACCCACAAACTCAAACCCAGCTTTCCCTTTGTGATATGGAACCTTGTAGTACAATGTCAGAGAGATCCATATACTAATACACAAGTTATGTCTGGAAGTTACAAAAATGCTTATTTTTGACCCCTAATTCCTGAACTGTTGGTACCATAACCCCCAAAATCAATCCCAACCTTCCTTTTGTGGTATTTAACCTTATGGTAAAATTTCATAGATATCCATTCACTTATATAAAGTTAGAGTGAGAAAACCAATGTGTCTATCAAAAAACAGTTATCCAACAATTTAAGTTTGTTTAGCTGAGTTGAACTTATAGACAGACAGACAGAATATTTTATTATAGTGTCACATACCAATATAAAACAATGTCATACATCATAATAAAAGTATATATAAGTTTATATGCATGGATTTTCTTGTCATATTTTATACGCCCCTTTACGAGACTTATTATGATATACCGTTGCCCATCTGTCCGTTGTCAACATATCGGACAATTACTCAAAAACGCTTTAACCAATTTGCATGAAACTTTGGTGAATTGTTTATATCTATTGATGTGAGCTGCCTTTCAATTTTTATAAATTTTAGATTATATGCTACCGAGTTATGGGGTTTTATTCTTTAAAAATGGGAATTTTCCAGTTTTCGGACAATAACTAAAAATGATTTGAACAGATTTCGTGAAACTTTGGTGAAATGTTTATATCTATGGACATAAGCTCCCTTTCGATTTTTATAAATTTTAGATTTTACGTTTCTTAGTTATTGGATTTTATTTATAAAAAAGGGGGGATTTTCCAGTTTTCGGACATTAACTCAAAAGTGCTTTGAGCAGTTTTCATGAAACTTTATATTTATAAAAATAACCTCCTGTTAGTTTTTTTATAAATTTCTGATATGACATTGAGGAGTTATGGAACTTTTTTCTTTGAAAATGCAATGGGCGTATGATGCGCTCATGGCGCAGCTGTTTATTAGGTTATTTCAACTGGATTATAGTTTTCAAGACTGAATTTCAGAGTACAAATGTACTTATAAGTTATATGTATAATGTTTAAACCTGTAAAATTATATAAAGGATGAAAAAAGTATAACTATTTGTGAGATAATTTTATCACAATAATTGGTATTTAAGAGGTCACTGACTACCTTATTCCCCATCTACTTCTAGATCTTGCATGCTACAGTAAAAAAATATAAAAGAAATGTGACAATCCTTACAGATGCCTGATGGAAATTTTTGTTTATATATAATTTTCATGTATATAATAGCATATGGTAGAATTTTAATCTTCGGAGATATTATGTTATGGTTGATATTATTAAATTTTCTAGGAAGACGTTGGAATAGAGACAGATGAAGATTTACATGTGACGGTTCCTGAAATTTGATATTATTTTAACTTATTTTATTGTTAAATTCTTAAAAATTCCTTGAAAGAATTGAGTGCAAAGGAGTAGGTGTGGTAATGGCCCTATTTGTCCCCAAATATTTAATGAACTTGGGAGAAAATGAATTTAAACAATTTTTGACTAGCTTTTCTTATAGTATGTGAACATTTAAGATTGACAAAAGCTGACGTATTTCAACAGCACAGGCATTGAAAAGAATAATCACATGGTACCATTGATCGATTGATTGTTGTTGTTAACACCACTCTCAGTTTTGGCTTTGTCATGGTGGTAATTTTTTTTATCAAGGAAACTGGAGAGAACCACCAATCTTTTGACAAAATGCACAGAATTAAAAAAAATATTGACATCAGGTTATTTGTTATAACAATCATTATGTTTAAGGATCTATTTGTTGAAGCATTTACTATATCTGTTTCAAAAAAACCTATGAAAATTGGCCTGTTTTGATTGTAACTGTAACTAGAATACATGTCCTAATCTTCCTCATGTAAAGGAGTACCTCAAATGGTGAGTAATACACCACCATAAATAAAAATATATGTATTCTTAAGTTAAAATTGTTACAAATCATTCGCCATTAACTATTATTACAAACTAAGAACAATAGGAAAATGCAGGCTCAATGGTTGAATTTATATACTAACATACAAAATAGATCTGTATAGTGTTGCAAAACTATCACCAACTATTAATTTTGATGGAAAACAACTGATCATATGACATCAAGTTAAACAGACAATAAGTATACTTGGTATAGTGTTGTGTAAACCACACATACTGCAGGATCAACCAGTAATCAATGGTATCAGCAGTGTAAAGCAAGAAAACCTTTGCTACTATTGTATTGTGATAGTAGATTGTAGTGATAGGAACTGTAGATCATCAGTATATTGTTGTGTAACTCATGCGTTGAAAGGTTGAATTGTGAAATTTATCCTTATAGTTTTGAAGTGGTAAAAAGAATGCTAATGCATAAATTTTCGAACAAAAAGACCTGTTTCTTGCCTTTATTACATCTAGTCATTATCTTAAATATGATTCATTGTGATAATGGCAATTAAACCTTAATTCAAAAATTAAGATAAAAACAGAAGCCATACAGGGCCAATATCAAGCTTACTCCTTTCATAGATAGAAAAAATATATTGCATAAAAATATTATTGCAAACAGTTATTTGTTACAAATGGTCAAACTTGATATTAAAGTTATGAAACATTGTTAGTTAAAACTCACCAAAGATACCAGGCTAAAATGCACAGGAATTACAGTGGAATTCATAATGTTAGGCCTCATCAATTTATCATTGTTTTTTTTTTTATTAGATCTATTTCTCAATAATTATTATAAACCATGATACAGCAGTTGAATTTTCAAATACAGTTTCTTATTTTGATGTTTAAGTGCCAGTCTGCCTAAGAATCAGGCAGTGATGAAAACCATGATTTGATTTTTATTCAAATTGCCTGATTCTATAAACAAAGACAGGCATTTAATAAGACAGGTATAAAGTTATTGCAAGAGTGGAATCATTTCAAATTTGAGTTTTCAAGTGAAAAAGAGGGCTTATTATTTGTATTACAAAACGTGTGTTAAATAATCAGACAGGAACAAACATAAGTAAGAATAAACAGATTGGTATGGTTGTGAAGAATGACATGATTCTTTTTACAGTAGATAACATTATTTCTTTTGAAGTTAACCTTTTAATAACTGACTGCACAAACAATTTTACATAACCATACTAATGTCAATTTACTTGTAGCACTCTATAAATCCGTACTTGTTCCATAGTTTAATTTTATGGAAACTTATAAGACCTTTTTGTTACCATGCTTACCCCCTATTTGGCCATTACTCTTTTGTTTGTTTTGTTGTACACTTGAAATAAGGGTTTTAAATCTGAAATGTTAACATCTTGATATAAAATGATGAAGGCTTTCTTCTAATTCATATATTAAACAAGTCTGATTTGAACTATCAATATTCATCATTTCTTTCTTTGCTTGTTAGCTTTGTGTTCTGTCTGGTTTGGAAAGATTGGTACATGAAGATATGTATTGGAGATATCGAGAGTTATTGCATAATCTTTCGGTTTGTCTAGGTCATTGTGTTTAAGATTTTTTTTTTCAAATAACTATTTAAAGGATTCAAATTTGTCACCAACCTTCTTACCTTCCCATTTTCCTTGGGACAAGAAATAAGGTACTGTAAACCTGTTTGACATTTGGGATACTGAAGAATATTTATTTCTTGACAAAAAAAAATGTATTCTTTTGAGATATTATTGTCTTTTTAGCTCACCTGGCCCAATGGGCCAAGTGAGCTTTTCTCATCACTTGGCTTCTGTTGTCGTCCGTTATCTTTTACAAAAATCTTCTCTGAAACTACTGAGACAAAATTAACCAAACTTGGCCACTATCATCAGGGTGGGTATCTAGTTTAAAAAATGTGTCCGATGACCCTACCTGCCAACCAACATGGCCGACATGGCTAGAAATAGAACATAGGGGTAAAATGCCGTATTTGGCTTATATTTCTAAAACTAAACCATTTAGAGAAATCTGATGAGGTTAGAATGTTCATCAGGTTTCGATCTATCTGCCCTGAAATTTTCAGACAAATCAAACAACCCGTTGTTGGGTTGCTGCCCCTGAATTGGTAATTTTAAGGAAATTTAGCAGTTTTTGGTTATCTTAAATATTATTATAGATAGAGACAAACTGTAAAAATCAATAATGTTCAGCAAAGTACGTTCTACAAATTAGTCAACATTACCAAAATTGTCAATTGACCCCTTAAGGAGTTATTGCCCTTTATAGTAAATTTTTAACAATTTTTCCCAAATTTTTGTTATCTTTTACAAAAATCTTCTCCACTTAATCTACTTGGCCAAATAGAATTAAACTTAGCCACAATTTTCAATAGGGTATCTTGAATGAAAAATATATCCGATGACCCTGTCATCCACCCGACATGGCCGCCATGGCTAAAAATAGAACATAGTGGTTTACTATAGAATCAGACTTTTAAAGTAATAACTCGGATATATAGGATACAAGGAGATGATCATAAACTGACATTGTATATAATGTGGCTACTGAACAGTGCTTTGCCAAATTTTTGTATGTATGGGTATAGACAGATAAACAGGGAGAGACAGGGTATTCTTCCCGCTTAACTTATACTGTATAAAGTATCCTTGTAGATTTTAAGTTTATTCCCGCTTAACTTTTACTGTACAAAAGTATCCTCTTAGATTTTAAATTTAGTCGTATATATAAATTTTAAAATTAATTTCCCCTATTTATACTGTTTAAAAGTGTCCTTTCAGATTTTAAATTTATTAGTATAAATAAATTTTAAAATTGTGTGACACATTTCAATACACATACAGAGCTGTATGTGGTGTTCCATGAATGGAAGGATATCCATGCAATAGAAGAAGAAGATAGAAGTCTATGGGAAAATTGTAAAAAAAATAATTTCAAATGGTCACAACTTGAAAGCTAATTTAAATGATGATAAGGGCTCTTCAGTAACTATTTTAAGACTACAATGGGATGACCTGCTTTTAATTTAACTACTGGGCCAAATTAAACCAAACTTGGACTCAATCATTATTAGGGTATCTAATACGATTTATTATGATTTTAACCTTATTTTACATGATTTCCAAAACCACAGTAGATACAGGTGAGTGACACAGACTCTTTTGAGAGCCTCTTAGTTTAATCCTGTCCAAAAATAGAATTAGTATAACTCATTGATCTGTGGTTATCTTTTCCTGATTTAGTAGAAAAATGTTTTAGGCAACCTTATACTTGGATGTCTGGACATATTACTGGCCTTACCCCTAAGTAAACAAATGTTGTTTTTTTTTGGGGGGGGGGGGATTCAAATGGAACTTGAAAACTCTTTGAAGTAGTCTAGCTAATGTTTACCTTCTTGTTTTCATTCCTGGAAAACTTATTCCCTTATTAGCTCACTTGGACTAATAGGCCATGTGAGCTTTTGATATGAAATGGCATTTGCCGTCTGTCAGTCTGTCGTAAACTTTTTTTAAGGGAGTCATTGCACTAAAAGACAATTTTTCCCCAGAATTTCATGAAACCTTTTCAGATAATAAGAAAAACTACGTAGATGTGCATATCGACAGGAAATTACGATTCAATTTTTTTTCCAGGAGTTACGCCCCTTTGAACTTATTTGCCCAATATACTACTGCAACCTTTTGTCATCACAACTCCTCTCAAACCACACAACAGAATTTCACGAAACTGTGTAGATAATAAGGACATACTATGTAGATGTGCATATTGACAGGAAATGACGATTCAATTTTTTTTCCAGGAGTTACGCCCCTTTGAACTTATTTGCCCAATATACTACTGCAACCTTTTGTCATCACAACTCCTCTCAAACCACACAACAGAATTTCATGAAACTGTGTAGATAATAAGGACATACTATGTAGATGTGCATATTGACAGGAAATTATGATTCAATTTTTTTTTTCTGATACAATTTTTTTTTCTTACACTTATTTTATTTCTCCAATGAAAATGTGGGGACGTGGGTTATGTGAGCGCGCTCACTAAGGTTCTTTCATATTTCAGAAAGTTCGTTGACATGGATGCTTCACACCTTGTATGCAGATACCTTATGTTATGAAGTTTCCGTCTGTCATATGTCCACTGTCCTTGACCTCATTTTCATGGTTTAGCGACTGCTTAAATTTTTTTTTTTTTGTCATGAGAATTTCTCACTTATTATGAGTATAGGTTCACTATATTTGGTATAGAAGTTCCTTGAAACGTCTTCATGTCCGTCAGACAGGGTTCACCTGACCTCATTTCATGGATCAGTGATCAAGGTTAAAATTACGTAATTGGGTCCGTTTCTCAGATACAATAAGTAGTAGGTCAACTATATGTGGTGTATAGAATGATTGTAAGGGGTAGATGTCAGTCTGGCCAGTTTCATCTGACCTTGACCTTATTTTCATGGTTCATTGGTCTGTTTTTCAAATACTGCAAGCAATAGGTCAATTAAATGTGTTGCATGGAATGATTGTAAGGTGTACATGTCTAGATCTGTCTTGCAGGTATCAACTATATTTGGTGTATGGAATGATTGTAAGGTGTATATGTCTGTCTGGAAGGTATAATCTGACATTGATCTCATTTTCATAGTTCATTGGTCAATGTTAAAGATTTTGTGTTCTAATCCGTTTTTAGCTCACCTGGCCTTTGCTTTTTTCATCACATGGGGTCTTTCCTCCGTTGTCCTTCGTCATTAAGTTTTACAAAAATCTTCTCTTTAAATCGTCTGACGATCTCTTATTGGAGTTGGTGCCCTTTGATAAGGATTTTTACCTTTTTTTGCGTTTTGGCCTAATGTCTGAAAAACTAAAATAGATAGATGGAAATATAAATAAGCAAAAATGATCAGCAAGACTTGATCTACAAATAAGTCAAATAGCCGAAATCATCAGTCGACTCTTTGTAGGAGTACTTGATCTTTAATGACGATTTTTCCAATATTTTACGTTTTTGCCTACTATCTTGAAAACTTTAAAAGATAAGCACTTTAAATAGCAAAAATTACCAGCAAGATATAAAAACAGCTGGAAAGTGCTTTACATTGTAACTTAATGTTCCCGAACTCCACACAGCTAATTTTTAACCATCGACCTCACCGCCATTGCCAATATTTATCCTGCTCTGAATAATAATGACGATAATGTTTTATTGTGCTTAATTTGCTTCTTTACATATGACAAAAAGAAAAAAAACAACATTAGAAACAAGGTAAACAAATGTTCAATAAAAGTGCGTGTAAGGAATTGTCAAAATTGAGTAATTATAAGAAAGAATGTGAAAATTAAAAGAATAAGCAAGCATAACTAAAAAGGTTGAGATAGATCGAAGGTGTGTACAGTATCAGATAGCAAAATCAATCGCTTTGACCTTGATTTTTCAGTTTTTGGTTATTATCTTGAATATTATTATAGATAGAGATAAACTGTAAGCAGCAATAATGTTCAGCAAAGTAAGAGATACTAATAAGTCAACATGACCAAAATGGTCAATTGACCACTTAAGAAGTTAATGCCCTAAAAATGGCTAAAAATAGAACATAGGGGTAAAATGCAGTTTTTGGCTTATATCTCTGAAACAAAAGCAAAAGCATAATGGTAGCATTATTCCATGCATCAATTATAAACAAAAATATGAGGTGAGCGACACAGGCTCCTTGGAGCCTCTAGTTTGTATTCATTTTTGCTGTCCAAATTTTTGACATTGTAACTATCATGTCTGTTTGTTTTGCTTACACATTGTTGTCCATATAATGGAATTCTATGCGACTATCATACAAGTGAGAAGTTAAGCTAGCTATAAAACCAGGTTTAATCCACCATTTTCTTCATAAGGAAATGTCTGTACCAAGTCAGGAATAGTGACAGTCGTTTTCCATTCGTTTGATGTGTTCGAGCATTGGGTTTATACATCTATGGTTTGAGCTTTTGATTTTATCATTTGTTAAGGGACTTTCCGTTTTGAACTTTCCTTGGAGTTCGGTATTTTTGTTATTTTACTTTTCGCTTATCTGTTAAAAAACTGTATTCGAAAATAAATGACTGACTCAAAATTTAAAAGATAAATATATAAAATTAAATAGTAAGCAAAACAGTACAGAGTTTATCAAAATACTAACATTTGATATTTGAGAAACACAGTTTTTTTGTTCAAGTACTATGGATTACGTATAGTAAAGGAAATAAACAGCCTCTAAATGTTTACATCAAATCTTTTCGCAGCGAGGCTTTTGCAAGTGCGGATCTGGATGTACACCATCACGGTATAGTGCAACTTTTAAGTACCGTATCTTCTGTGTTTGACCAAGTCATAAAATTTTGATGTTTTACAGTTTTATGTATGGTACAATTGCAAGTTGTATGAAAAAAGGCGAATGTGAAATAAGTGATTTTGTTTCTGGTTTTGATACCCTTGTTTTACAAAAGACATCTTGCCCTTCTAGTAGATGCGGTTGCTCATTAAGAACTGGCGGATCTGTGTTCCTATTATTTGTATTCCAGACAACTATGAAATAAAAATGGGGTCTCCAGAAAGGTTACATTGCAGTTTGGATATTTACTGATTATGTTTATGATCTCATTTTGTAACCTGTAACAATTTTATCCACTATTTCCTCACAATTAAATGACGTTATTGATCTAAGTCTTTAAATTTGATTTTAACCAGTGTATTGCATTCTGTAAAGTTATTCCGTTCGCACACGACAAGATTACATTATTTTGTTGACTGTTTACAAATTGTTTCTATAACTAATGCCATAGCTGACGGCTTATACTACATGTATATATGTTCTGCGTCCTGTAGGCGTGGCAAGGCTTCTATTGACACACAAAATGATCTTACTCAGACATGTACACTTTACATCAAAAGCAAGCCAATGCAAAGAAAAAATCAAGTGACAGGGATGATGGTGGGAACTGAATCTGTGGTACCTTGCCCAATTTAAGTATAGACAATGTAATAAATTATTTGTATGACAGTATGGTATTGATGAAACTATATATATATATGTAAATAGAATATGGTCAACAGAGACTGTGTTTGTGAATAACGGGTAGCATTTGACTGAAAGACGCGTTATAACATTTACGTTACCATTTTCACTGCACCAGTAAACGTTCAGAGAGAGGCGACAGATACCAAAGGGATATTCAAACCCATAAGTCGAAATAAACTGACAATGACATTAGAAAAAAAAGCACGAAAAACGACCAAAAGCCAGACAAAAGTATACAAAACCCAACATAGAAAACTAAAGACTGTGCAACACGAACCTTACCAAAACAGGGATTGATCTCAGGTGCTCCGGAAGGATAAACAGTTCCTGCTCCACATGTGGCACCCGTCGTGTTGCTGATTTAAGTACAAACCAAGTGATCAGTCGAGTTCGGCTTATTATTTTTGCTTTAATTAGTTTCTGAGTCGCCATAAGTAGTAAGTCAACTATATTACTACTTGAAGAATGTTTTCTGATCGTTCAATCAGTTCCGTTTTTGTTATTGCGTTCATGTGAGGTTTTCAGTTATTAAAATTATATATTTGGTCTATAAAATGGTTGTAATGTGTACATGTAATCGGAAAGGAGTAGTATAAATTAAGTCGATAGTAGTTTATCGATTTTCAAATCTCGTAAATCAATTAGGAAGAGACAAATCAAGGTAACAATCAAACACTAAGTGGATCGCATGAACTCCAAAGGGAGCGAGACCAGGTAAGTCGACAGGGTTAGTTTCTCCTGCTTATGCATGCACCACCTGCTATGCGAATTTAAACTCGGGAATTGGACAAAATCAGTAAAATTGAAGATCAGACGACTAATGGTATCTAAAGATCTAGACCGCGAAAACATGCCGCTAGTGGAGGCACCGACATATTTTATAGGTCAACAAATTCGTTATGGTGACCACAAACATGTGAAGTATCAATGTCAGTCGTTCTTCCTCATAACTCTGAGTAGTTTTTGTGTATGGTACACATTCCTGCTAATAAAGGTCCGCTAATAAAGGACGTAACGTGTGAACATGCACGAGCGTAACGTATTAACTGAGATATGTAAACGCCATGCGATTGATCAGAGTGTATGTTTCTGCTGAGAAATAGGAAGGTGATAATAGGTTACCATTGATGTATTTGGCCATTCTTTTAGACCTTTTTGGGTCATCGATGCTCTTATCCTCGTATTTTATTTAAACTTTTAGTTTTTTGTAGATGAAACGCGCGTCTGGCGCTCAAAATCTAAAGCCTTGTATCTATGATGAATTTATTTGAAAGTTGAAATCATCACGTTTGTCATATATTTTAGTTTGAAATCGTCCGTGTCAATATTAAGAAAAAGATCAAGATATGAAGCAGACCGTCTGCATTCGGTAGTATCCTTAATCTTAAGTTGACTAGTATATATGAGATGTCAGCACTCATTAGAATGTGGATTATTAAGTGACAGAATATCATCAATATATCTTTGCAAGAGACTTTACTTTTTTTTCTTTGAGAAGTTTCTGATTGAATTCTGCTTCATATGAGTACAAAAACAAGTCGGCCAGTATAGTGGTGCAAATTTAGTATCCATTTGAATACCGACAGTTTGATGAGATATCAATTCACCAAACTCAACAAATATGTTAGTTTCAAAAAGTCCTTCATCTTTGGTGTATTTGTTGTTGGAATCAGTGTGGTTCTTCACAAGATTTTTCGTGCCATTAAACAAAGAATCTGTATCTACGTTTCCATGTTTGTAGAAAAAGCTCTGTTTAATGAGATGATGTAGTCGACCTTTTAATTGAGCATGGGAAATAGTAGTTAAAAGCGTTGAAAAATCAAAGGTTTTGATATTATTTCAATATTATGAAGACTTTTCAGAATTTTTAAGATTTCACATCTGATAACCGATTTTTGCTTTCAAATGATCAACCTAAAGTTTTCTAGTTGGTCACCTTCCCATAAGCCTTGTCAAAATCTACATTTATTTACCCAACCCACCTAGCCATATATTTCCAGTGTCAGACAATAGAGTCCTCAAGCTGTGCCAAATTCTGATCCCCTTTTCATTTCATATCGGATTTTTAAAATCTTTAAGTTTTTGCTCATCACCTCGATTTTAAACACCAACAATAAATCAGTGTCGAATATGACTGATTGATGGCTGCATATCATCATTCATAACATGCTTATGCAGGGGAAAGCATTGTATTTTGTGGCATTACATCGACAATCGTAACGTTAGTAAAATTGATAACTTAATATTGCATTTATCAGGCCAAACATTGCTTCTTAAGACGTCTTTACAATAAATGCGTTGGAGGTGAACAGATTGACAATTTAGTCCGGAAAAAAAATATTTATTACTAGTAGTTGTAATTGGGCTTTGAACTAGTTTAAAGTAATGTGAGTACTCTAAGAACAATACGTTGTGACTTTTGTCCAAAGATTATTTACAGTTTGTTCTTCTGTTATCTTGTAACACCACTGTCCAATGATACGGATGAGCCCTCATAAACACGTTTAACACCGCCACATTCTTTGTGTGCCTATCCCTAGCCAGGAGCCTGTATATATAGTCCGGTGGTCGTCGTTGGTTGTTTTCTGCTATATTTGATTTTTGTTTATTTTTGTAGTATAGATCAGGCCGTTGGGTTTTTCTCTTTTCAATTATTCCACATGTACTTTTATAGCGTATCTTACGGTATTGCTGGTTGATGCTTCCGGTCTCGCTTGGAGTTTTTGTGATAACTTTCTTTGCACTATATAATTATTTACACATAAGCATATCTCGTAATCGATTAATGAGATTTGAACATCGGTAAACGACCGTACTTATGTCGATTGTTTTTGTTGTTATGGCCTTATACTTCCCGATGTGCAGAGTTCTTGTGACACTATTGATTTATACAATGTTCTTGTCTCTATAGGGGTATCGGTGGAACAATTATTGGTAGTTTTTATTTTTAACTGTAAGACACCGGTGAACAAAAATGCTTTAAATACATCTTGACTATTGATAGAAATTGACACAATAATAATCTTGTTTAACAAAGTCATTTATTGAAAATATGGCGATGTATTCCACGAACTTACGATATAACAATTGCTTCATTAACTATATTTGTGCAAAAAAAAACACCAAAATACATAACTTTAAGCAAAATGCCTATATCAAATGCAAAATGTGTACCAATGGTATTAACGGTTGAAGTCTTCTCTTGTCAGGCCTCTTTGCCTGCTTCTCACTTGACCTATTATGTTTGCACAATCACTTCTGCCACACGTGCGCAGTGACGATATCAGGAAATCTACCATAGTTGCACGTCCTGTTTTCCCGCGCCATTCACAAAGTGTCTGAAAGTTTGTTCTTACGATATCTCCGTCCATTTGATCTTTGAACTTGTCTATCAAATCCTCACTGACACCTAGCTGATGAGATAATTTTCTGACGTCACGTTCGGAAAGCTCTCTCGAAAGCTCCATCAGACTGTTGTGTGCAAGAACACATTTGGCCGCTGAAACAAAGTAAATTGAGAATCTACTTATACATATATATACTTATATATATATATTTCTTAATTACCAAATTACTATCGAGTTTATCTACGGATTCGTTAAATGAAAGATTGGTGTACACTATTCCACATACATATTATTCGAAATATACAAAAAGGAAATGTGGTATAATTGGTAACAACTAAAGATTATTGTATATCCAAAGCGTATAGTAAGCTATAAAAGGCCATGTGATGACAAAATCAATTCAAAAGAGAAAACCTAATTAAAGCTTATAACACTAAACAAAACAATCTTGACAAACAGCAACCAACAACAAACACTTGACGACAGGCTCCTGGCTTGAGACAAACGCATAAAGAATGTGGCGGTGTTAAAAATGTCAGACTCTGTGCGTGCTCAACCTCCCTGTGACAGTGGTTTAACAGTGCAACATGTGAACAAACATTAAAAGTCTGTTGAAAAAGGCTATACTTGTCATATCGGTACTAAGCATAAAAACAACTAACAAAATGATAAACGACAAAACATAACGATTTAAATGTACCTTCAGTTACTTTTAGTTTGTTTTAAACCCAATTTCAACTAACATATAGACTATTTCACCCAAACTTAAATAGTACAACTCCAACAGATTTGGTGTATAGACGTCATAAGAATCTGAGAAAAGCGTGGCCTTGAACAATGCCAAAATTTAAGTATCGACAAGATGTAGAACCATTAGAGGCAATAACCAGAAAATACAATATTCCAAGATCTTACTGCACCATTAGAATGATAACCTTCAAGAATAAACATTTGACATGCTGAACCTAAATATATTAAAATTTCTCATAAGACATTTTTACCCTCTTCCTTTAGTTTCAATTCATCCCTTGCATTGTTGTTTTCATTTAGTTTTATTTGTGGTCTTGATGCAATATCATCTGAAAAAAAAATGCAAAGATGTAAATAAATGGCAATATTTAAACTCAGGTATAATACGGAAATAAGTAAGGACATAAAAAAATAAATGTTGAGAGACAACGAATTTTCACTTAATATTGGTCTGTTTTTGCCAAGAAATAAAGAATGATCACTTACTTCTGAATATTCTTTTTAACCTTTTGATGTTTTTTCATAGTTAAATTGTTTCCACTGGGTTAAACATGTGCAAAATCAAGCTATTAAGAGATTCGTCATTGTTAAGGACCATATGGGCAACTAAATCCTTTGTATGCCTGACTCCTTATTCTTTGTAAGTACTGGACATTTTACACAGTTCTTCGTTGTCCGTATCAGACTGTTAGGTGTAGTACTGTTTTTTTTATGCGAAGTATACTTTAACGATGGATTAATGATTACTGATATCGCAACAACATAAATTAAATAATTCCAAGACTTAATCTTAATCAGTTATGGACAGACAATGACAGCGATGAGTTTGTTATAGCAAAGGCCCATACCAATCTGCAGATAGTGAATACGATGTATAATGTCAATGTTCATGAAAAGAAACAATATACAATGTCGTTATCTTTTGCTGTTAAAAAGTGTGTTTTTACAAATACTTTATTTGGTAATTTCGTAGAATAGTTGTATGTTAAAATTTCTAAATGTACGTACCAGAAGCCAATTCAGATAGATCTCTTACTGGTATTGCAACAACATGTATTGGTGTATCCGATCCGTCTTCGCTCAGTTTGAAAGTAGCAAAGGGCTCCTTTTCTTGGTCACGCTTGACTTCAATTGGAATGGTCACATGGTTATCAGCACCTTTTAAATATGTCATTTTAAAATTTTGACCGTTTCCATTAGAAAGTGTCAATTTTATTTGACCTTCAATTGCAAGGTCAAATGTCTGATTTTGTTTTACAGCCAAATCTTTGGATCTGCTGTTCTTTACTTCTATAAATCCCAGTTGTGATTTCATTTCAATATCTTCTTTCAGCATATTCTTTTCTACGAAGTCCAACCAAAACATTGCACCGCCCTTTGGCATATCACGTGACGAATCGTCGATGTATGTCATTAGATTACACATTTGCACTTTTCCAGACATAACTAAGAATTCTTTTTTTACAGAGTCTCTCATGTTTAGAAATATTTTCTTTACCCTGGCTACTGCAATACTGAAACAAATTGAAATGCATTGAATGTGGCGATCATGGATTTAACATTCTAGACTAATGATTCCGATGTTTAGATGCTATAGAGCATATAAAAGGTATGATTAATTTACTAGAAAATATTACTAGAAAACAAAACTGAAAATAAAATATTTCGTAATGTTTTTCTTTGACAGAAATGATAGTAAAAAAGCAAAATTAAATACTTTGCAAGTACAAAATAAGGAGATAGATACAAGTTCATCGATCTTCGAAATTTCCGGGACCATTATAGTTCATGGTTTGGGTTAACGCCATGTTTCTTAACGGTTCAGAACCGAGTAAACAACGAAAATATGATTCATAGTTTAGAATGTTTATGTTTAAGTGTTTTCGTTTTTGTACATTTATTGGAAATTAAATTGGGCCGATACTTTTGAAACTTGACTTTCGGTCATGTTAATTTTTAGCATAGAAAGCAGGAAGGCCAATAATCTGATTATCGCAACCAATAATAATTCTCACCTAAACCTTTTAAAATATTACCTCTACCAAGTTAAATAAAATGAACACAAAAAAAAACCAAACGAAGCAGACAACACAGTAGTGCTGGTGTGCGTATTCAATGTGCAGTAAGATTGTTTCATAATACCAAACTTCCAAACATATATCTAACCTTGTCTACCTAAATTACAAAAAAACCAAGACTTGAATAATTATCCAAATCTGATCAAAATACTGATCCTACGTTCACACTTCGCTCACAAAGTTAAACAGAGTGATGTCATATCCTTGTAAACAAAGAATGAACATATGATCTGTATCTCAATCAGATTGTAATTACCAACAAGTTGGTCGCTCCCTGAAACAAAGATAAATGTGAGGATATTTAAGTTTTTGGTTTAAAAATGAGGACTATTCGTAGCCGCGTATTCATAGAAATGAATGGATAGTGTTAATATATCACGCGATCAGAAAAAATGTGACATTGCTATCAACTAGTTTATGACAGTGACAGAAGATTCCGTGAATAACTGTGTTTATCGGTAGTTTCTTGGTTCGGGAATATACCATTATAAGTCAGTGAAATCATCATAATGAGAACAAATATTAGCATATTTTATCAATGGAATTGAATTGATCAAACGTCTTAGACTAGGGCAGATCGTATTTACCTTTTATACTCAAAAATGGAATGCTGACAATGGGAAAATTGACATTATGGCTTTTGACTTGAGTAGTAGTTTTCAGTCGTTTATCAGCATACATTTGAAAAAAGAGATTAAATAAAGGCAACAGTAGTATACCGCTGTTCGAAATTCATAAATCGATTGAGAAAAAACAAATAACGGGTCTTCTTGTCTATGCACTATCTTCAATTCAAAATTAGAAATAAAAGACGAAAATGACAATTTTATTGTAATAACTTGAAGCGTATTTAATCATCATATCACAAAACAATTTTTGGTTTAATGGATCAGATTAGAAATCAACGCTTCCAGTCCCAAACTATATATAAGAGTTATATTTCAACCGAGGCTTATGACTGGATAAACATTGCCATCCGTTAGATAAGTTTAGTTTCATAACATTAGAAAAACAGTAATATAAAAAATAAACGATATGATTTAATTTCAATGAGACAAATAAGACATTGCAAAATTATACACAACTTTGTACATGTATTTCAATAGGTTGAATATTATCCATTCTTTCTTATGAGTTCTAATTATTTTACCAATTACTACTTCATTCTCACCTCCAAAGTCCTTTACATTCTACTTTAAAGTTCGTTCCATCTTTTGTAATACGACATTGTGATTTATCCAGGACTTGTACTTGTGTGTCGTTGTATCGAATAACAACTAGCTGGCTGTCTTTCTCGGTGTGAGGGTTATCTTCCATACGAACAGTGACTACCATATTCTTTTTCACTTCTACTTCTTCTTCGGTTCTGATTTCAACGGCGTCAGATAAACAGATTATACCCATTATAGAATCAAAACATTTCTCTCTGTAAGATGCTACTTCCTTTGAATCATGTTGAACTACCTAGTTTAAATATAATAAGAATTATCACTTTAAATCCAAATGCTCTTTTACAGAGGCTCATATACAGGTTATAAAAATACATTTGTTAGGAGACAACCGATATCATTTATGTTTTTATCTTTTGGCATATTTTACAAGTTTTACATTGTATTTTTTTTTTTTGTAAATACGACTCAAGTACAATAATCGTCTATAATAATATTGTAAAAATTTTCATAACATTTAACTTACTTTAATATGCGCTTTAACGGGCGAATCTACTATGTCTGGAAGAAATTTGACCTGGATTTCCTCATTATCTGCATTAGTATATGTGGATCCCTGAGGAAGAATTTCATGTAACTCTGATGGATTGTCGATGTAAGCTATAAATGCGTCCATACTAGATGCTTTGAATGATAAATGAGTCTTAGCTTCTGAAACTTCCTAAAAAGAAACCAAAAATAAATTGATTATTATTGCTATTTCTCTAAAACACAGTTAAGTATTTGAATTTTTTTTCTTTAATACTGTTTTTGTTCCTGTATGTGCTGGTAAGTGCCTGTTTTAGTTGACCATTGATCCAGATTAAAAGGCTAGCGTTGAAATCTATATAAAAAAGAACCCCCGCCACAAATTCATGTTTTTACCCAAATGTGGAATCTCGTATTTAGCTGCTTTTCTAAATGATAATCTATAGAATTCATAATTTTTTATCATTGAAAATTCTCAATCAAGACAAAATGTGTACCTGTTGGACATTTTCCATGTCGTTCCAACTACCACCATTGTTGACCTTAACCTTAATTTGTCTCTCTGCAGAATTAGCAACAGGAAGAACAATAAAATCTATTTCGACATCGCTGCTTGTTTTAAGTGGTCCGTTACGAACAATATAAATATCAGAAACAAGAGTCTGATCTTCCGTTAGTGGGAGATCTTTTATCCAATCATTTCGATCCTTCATATCACATGATCCTACAGTACAGTCCGCGATTTCCCTATATTGTTCTGGTCTGTAGAAAAGTGAGACATCACTTCCATTTGGGTCTTCCTGACAAATGCTCACTCTGAAGGAAAGGAAGAATAATTTCAAATTTACTTCATTTTCTACATATGTCTATTATTATCAACACATTTCGAGCGGTCTAAGATCTTAGATTACAGAAAAGTCGTCTGGTAATTCATTTTTTCGATTGTGTCCTATTCCCGTTTTTCACATTTTGACTTGGTGAGGATTTGCGTTTCGGGTGATGCATACCGTGTCAACGCATTCAGTTTCGCTGCTTTTGGATTTCGTGCGACTCAGTTTTTGTTTGTTCCCTTGATTTGTATCTTCTAAAACGATTTATGAGATTTGAACATCGGTAAACTACTGTTGTCTTTATTTTCAATTAAATGTGAATGTATATATGAAGTCTTTGTCAGAGGTTGCTTTGCGTGTGTATGTTTAGACACTTAACGTCACAGTACCCAAATAAACTCATCATAGATACCAGGATTACAGACTAAACCATTCGTATTGTTATGAATAAAGGCAACAGTAGTATACCGCTATTCGAAATTTATAAATCGATTGAGAAAAAAACAAATCCGGGTTACAAACTAAAACTGAGGAAAACACATCAAATATAAGAGGAGAACAACGACACAACAGAAACACAACACTAAAATGCAACACATACAGAAACGAACTATAATATAACAATGGCCATTTTTCTGACTTGGTATAGGACATTTTAAGAAAAAATGGTGGGTTGAACCTGGTTTTGTGGAAATGTCATTGTACAAGTCTTTCAACATGGCTAAGAATATTCAAATATACACAAAACGGCCGCATTATGTATCAACAGATTATGTATGGAGTGAAAAAGTAAAATCTAAGGAGACGTTCACAAAAAACAACTTTTGAAAATGAGGAATTAAAACATGTTACAAGCATCAAGTTTTTACAAAATGAATAGAAAGCATGGACTATTGTCAAATTGTTTTAAAAAGTGAAATTAAGCATGGGTGCAATTTAGATGCTCTTCATTACAGAATTTTGGGTCGTTTGGAGGTAGGTTCAAACCAATATTTATATGATTCAGTATGGATTCAAAATTAAACTTGTGGAAATATATAGTAATTAAGGATACATCTACAAAATAAAAACAGATTGGAAACTTGTGTCTGTTTCTTAGATCAACGTAGGTGACAAAACTGTCAAAATAGGTGCAATTTGGGTATCCTCACGTTAAAATCTTACACTTTTAAAAATATTTTTGTGTCTATATTGTATTATTAATAGAAAAAATGTGATATCAAATATATCGCAAGGTAAATTCAAAATGGAGAAGTCCAGAAAAACTGACAAAACTAAAAGCTAGACTATATCCACCAAAGAAACGACCGGAAAACAACTGTCAAATTCCTGGCTGGAAACAAAATGGACGGTTGGACCTGGCTTTACAGCTTCATAAACTTCCCACTTGTTCAACAGTTGACTATAGTTTTTTCTTTTAAAAAAAAATAGTGTTAGCAACCCAAACAGAGATATAATTGGTTAACGTGACAAAAATTGAGATCCAACAGCCAAAATAGTGTTAACATGTATCTTAGAAAAAAACATTACTAAGTTAGATATGAAAAATAAACAGAAACAATCGTCAAAGACTGCATATATAAATTTATCTTACCTCCTATACATTTCTAGGAATATGATTGGTTAAAAGCAACCGCGTGGAGACCGTGTATATTTCATTTTGGGTTAGTAGGCGGGGCTTATTTCAATACACGGTTAATAGTTAATAGTTACGTCCCTTTATAAAAACAACACGGTGTTAAGGAGAAATCTTAAAGGTTTCAACAGACGAAGAAATTGATGATGAACGATTAAAATAAATTCATAAAACACATTTAAAGTAACAAGTTGTTATTGTTGGTATTTGTTTTTGTATAGACCAATGGAAGTAGATTCTTAATACTTCCGGTATTGAAGACTTGATCACGTTGATAGGCAACTGGTCTAAATACCACATGTAAAGATAGTCGGAAAGATAAATTCGTTACATAGTGTACGTGACATAATACGATATATATGGGGTCAGTAAATTCCATATGGGGATTCGAGCTTCGCTCTCACCCCATATGGAATTTACTGACCCCATATATATCGTTTTATGTCACTAGCACACTATGTAACTAATAGTGTCTTATATTGTATCATTCACAAATCAAACAATATGCTAGCTTTAAAATTTATTTGAAAAATATCGTATCATGGAGTAAATTGTAATGTATCAAACCAATGTAAAACTTGCTTTTTTGATATTTTAACAATTGTTTCCAGATACATGTATTGATTTGCATACCAGGAAATAATACTTACTTTCCACTTCCAAGAAATTCTTTGGTAAAAATCTCATACTCTTTTTCTAGTGTTTTTAGAAGATCCTCTATAGATGGTTGGCTAAATAAAATACATTTAGAATAAAAGATTATTTAAAAATAGCAATGCCGTGTAATTTTGATGCATACTAAACATATGTTTACGTTGCCACAAACATCTTAGAAGAAAGTCTGTTATTGTGAATAAAATGCGGTGGTGACCTTTTTAAATGTTTCAAAAAGTTTTAAAAAAATCTTTTTTTTCCTCAGTTATACGGAGAAGAATGATATGTTATCACTCATTGAAAATAACAATAAATATGAAAGATAAAGAAATAAACAAACAATACTATATGAACTATGCGTTACACTATTTTATCACAGAAAGTCAAAATTCATAAATCAAGCAGAACAGTCGAATTTACAGGCTATTGAAAGTTTATTGATGCTTATTTATGATATTTTTAAGATACAAACGGTACATGTATAAATAATACTTGTAAATCGGAAAAAAATTGTAACACTAGGCAAGTAGATAATTCATATTTCTTTCAAACCGCTTAATTAGAGATTGCCTGCTGCATGCATGCTAACCTTGATTCAACTTTTTCTCCGTCGGTCTTGTCATCAATCGGATCCTCTTTAGCTTTGTTCTTGTCTTTGTTTTTGCTTGTTTGTTTGCTTTTATTATCGTTATCCTCTTTATTCTGAGTCTCACTTACATCTTCTTGTTTTTTTTCATTGTCATCATTAGGTCTAAATGAACACAGATAAAAGATCCGTTACAGAAAATAAGCATTCAGTACACATTGTATTATGTTAATCATTTGATCTGTACGCATTGTACTTAATGTTAAACATACGATCTTTACAAATTGTACTTAAATCTTGTACTGAATGTTGAACATATTATGCTTACACATTGTACTTTATGTAAACATATGATCTGCACACATTATACTTTGTGTTAAACCAGCGATCTCTACACATTGTACTTTATGTTAAGCATATAATCTGTACACATTGTACTTTATGTTAAGCATATAATCTGTACACATTGTACTTTACGTTAAGCATATAATCTGTACACATTGTACTTTATGTTAAGCATATAATCTGTATTTGTTTCACTCACGGATTAAGGGAAAGTTGATGAGACTACATAGCTTGGTGTGAGGTATGGGTTTTGCTCATTGTAGAAGACTGTGCGGCGACCAGTAGTTGCTCACATCTACAGATTTGGTAACTGGTTGATAGTTGTCTCATTGGCGATCATAGCACATATTTTTTACTTACAATTAGTGAATTTCAATATCGGAGAGTAAGTCTACACAAATATTTTTTCTCCTCAATTTTACATATATTCATTGAATCGAAATGTAATATTTTTGTTTGAAAAGTTTGAAGAAAAAAAGATGTTTAACAAAAAAAAATTAATGTTGAATGTTGAATGTTGAATATTGAACCAACTTGACATCCGTAGCAAATTTTACATGTTTGTTGTAAACATCTGTATCGTATCTTACGACTAACAGAACCAAATGTAATTAATAACTATCTGACATGTACAGCATATCTTAACTTCCGATAAACATTTTAGTTTGGTTTGAAATATTGGTCATATTTATTTCTTTAGATAAATACTAAATATTTACCCAAATTGATCAAAATTAAATTTTGGGAAATCTGTATTGCATTTATAATTTGGAAACAAGAAATACAAAACAATGTTGTTAGAGCCTGAAATGAAGCACACAGATGAAGCTGTGAATTTTGGAAAAGATTGATAGATTATGTTCGTACCTGTCCCAAGTCAGGAGATTTTTTTATTGGTGTTTTCCATTTGTCATTTTTGGACCTTTTATAGCGGACTATGCGGTATGGGCTTTGCTCATTGTTGAAGGCCATACGGTGAACTATATTTGTTAACTTCTATGTCAATTGGTTTTTGCTGGAGAGTTGTCTCATTGGCAATTATACCACATCTTCTTATTTTTATTATTGTTGAAAACGATCCTGGTGAAAATTATTTCAAGGGAGTTGGGGTTACCTCTTTTCATATATGTTCGAGAACCCACTGATTTATATGTTTATATCCTTCAAATTTAATTTTGATATATCCAATATTTTTTTCTATATCTAAATCGGTGAACTTTAGAAAAAATTATGACACAACCTTATGTAAAAATGCAGCTTTAGTAATACCTTCTGGTTGCAACCAATTTTTGAAGAGGTTAGAAATCTTCAAAACTTGTTCAACAGAAAACTATTATAATCTATTATACTGTAGTTTAGTAATTAAAGAAATCTGACAATACTTAATAATAGTGTACTTACACCTTTAAATAAGAGTAGGAATATATATGTCCCTGTAATTATAATGAATTGCTATAGATTTAAATTGTTTTAAATCAAATATATATTTTTAAGTGCAGAATACAATGTGATTATTGTATATTATACTTATATGAAATGTATATTATTTCAAATTACTCCAGTTTATGCTGTTTCAGTAGTTGTCGTAGTAAAGGAAACAGGGATTCCAATGATTTTGAATATTTCTTCAGATCATCTTCCACGTCCTCAGAACTGAAAGTACATACGAAAGTAATAAATAAAACAAAAACACCCAAAATGGATTACTACCGATAGTGGTAGTTTGTGACAGTAGAAACAGTTTAATAATATATCAATGTTAACTAATGATAAACAGTATCACCATAAAACTTTAAAACAATATGCTGTTAACTAAATTCGAGTAAGAATAATGTTCAAAATCTGTAGTTAGACATAGGATGTATGCTTACTTTCCAACAAGAACTGGCTTCAGTACATTAACTGAGATGTAATTGAGTCCATACAAAGACCATGTGACCATGTTTAAAATGGCATCCTCTGCGGGATGATCTTCTCTGAAAATATATGAAATAAAAAAATGGGAATAAATACATTATCAAAATTCAAATAACGAGAATCCGATAATATGTTATTCATCGTGTTATGCTCTTCAACTTCGTATTTGATTAGGCCTTCCAACTGTTTTGATTCGAGGGCCACTGATGACTCTTATGTAGACAAAACGCTCGCCTGGCATTTCAAATAATAAACCTGGCATCTTTAGTGAGTTTCATTTCGAAAACGTTATCTCGTCAATGCTCGAGACAAACGATCTTTTAAACAAAAAAGATTATGATTTAGATAAAAGATATGCTGAAATGTTCACGACTTAGTATTTTCACATGCAAGATATTGTGATAAAAGCCGCTTAGTCTGGAAATCGTAAAGTAGCAAAATTTGAAGAGCAAAAAATTCAAAAAGCATATAAAATATCGACAGCAAAATCAGATATAAAAGTTGTTATTTGCATTTAATTTTACAGACATTGTAGCTCCAGTAACACGTGTCGTGCGCAGTGAAATCGTTATCATACATTAATATCCGAGTCGGATTTAGGGTAAGGGGACTGCATATATCGTTAATGCCATTTTTTACAAGTACCACACCTTAAATTGCCTTGTTGGTGCCCCCTTTCAATATATATCACTACCATTGTTTCGGTATTTGAGCTGCATGGTGGAATGTCAGGGGCGTTTCCAGGACATTTGAAAGAGGGGGCGTAGAATACAATCCTTCGCCGAGCGAATAGTAATTGTGAAATGCACTAATGTATCGGTTCCTGACTTGGAGCATGTATATTTTATAGTTAAAGTGTCAGGGTTTGATATTTTTTATGCCGAATTCTCTCCATTGATTGTCTATGGTATATTAAAATGATTGGATGGATCTTAACAGCAGTAGACCAATAACGAGAAATTCCAAATTCTAGGGTATAGGGCGTTACTTTACATTTCAATGGTCCTAGGCCAGGATTTTATGAACGGGAGGCGTAATTCCGGTTGCCCTGGTATAGGGTCCATGGGGAAGGTCAGAAGCTCCTGGATTTCAACAATAATTCAGCATCATATTATGAAGTATTATAACAGACTCCATGATAGACAAAATGGTGAAAAAAGTCTGCCTTCGGATCATTCAAATTATGTATTGATTAACATGTGGATATCAAATCTTTGGAATAAGTTGTAAATTCAGTTAAAAGGTTATATGAAATGGGCATGAAAAATGAAAAATAAATCTTTAACGATAGCTTTTTCTGAACTTTTGATATATATATATATATAGCCATACCCGTTTTGTTAAAATATACCTTTTCTCTGTTTTGGTCTTTTGGAAAATGTTGTTTGTACTGTATTTAGACCCCTTTACCAAGAAATTTGTTTTGCATGCACACGTATAAAAATTGCGGTTTTTATCCAACGCAATCATAGGTTTGAACGTTGTTTTCAATTTAGTAGATATAAAAAGATGTGGTATGAGTGCCAATGAGACAACTCTCCATCCAAGTCACAATTTATAAAAGTAAACCATTATAGGTCAAAGTACGGTCTTCAACACGGAGCCTTGGCTAACACCGAACAGCAAGCTATAAAAGAGCCCCAAAAATTACTAGTGTAAAACCATTCAAACTGGAAAACCAACGGTCTAATCTATATAAGAAACGAGAAACACTTATGAACCACATCAACAAACGACAACTACTGAACATCAGATTCCTGACTTAGGACAGGCGCAAACAGTTGCAGCGGGTTTAAACGTTTTAATGGTACCAAACATTCACCCTTATCTGAAACAATAGTGTAACATTGTATTTATAATACCCCGTTCTAGATAGTCAAATCTGACCCCTTCCAATGCAAGGCGAAAAAAACATAACCCCATTTCAGACAATTTAGCTGAAAGTGCAACCCCGTTTGTCGGAACATACCCGGTATCATATATATAGCGACTATCCCCCGGGTAGATGTAGAATGACCGTTGGGGAAGTGTCACACAAAACAACCATTTCATGTATAGATTTACTTACCGCTTTGGTTTTTTTTAAAAAAAGGTGTCCAAGTCACCCATCGGATGGGGGAATCAGTATAAAAAGAAATCAGAGTATGTGTTTAATTAATGAATATGATAAATTGCCATATTCAATACAATATAAGCAGATAACGAGTTTTTTTTTTTTTTTTTTTTGAAAAAGGGGGGGCGTACGCCCATTACGCCCTTACCTGGACACGCCCCTGAATGTCAATCTTCTTGGGTACATTTTATCTAGTTGCCTGTGCAGAGAATGTTTGCATCTTTTATACTCCACTTTGTTTGATACATGGTGAAATGCTCCAGGCTTATTTTCAGTGTTTTTTTCTTGTTTTAATATGTTATGTTTATCTTGTGTGTGCTATTCTATTTTTTAGTTCGTGTGACAAGGAGTTCAAGGTCTGAATGCCTTTATTCCACTTACTCCATACAGGAAGCACACTTCACAATTTTTATCAATGAATCGCAGGAACTTGTTAGATGTTCGATCACTGTAAATACTGTACTCTTTGTACTGTCTTTAATGCTGATAAAATAAAAAAAAAAACTATTTTACTAAACACATGCAACAAATATAAATATAGATTAGTTCATTCCAGTAAAGTAAATTAGAGAGCCTTGGTGTTCTCGTACTCAATATTTTCGTGCGCTATCAACTTTTGCTAAATCAGATTCTTCAGTGACTAATCTAGTTTGAAAATTTTCATTATCGAATAAATTTGGATCGCTTCTTTCAATAAAGATGAATTACAAGTCACTCACTATGGCACAATGCTGAAATTCCAACTGTATCCATTCAAATTATATTATGTAAAAATCTTTACATTTACATCCAAATGCCAGTGCAACTACGGATTATAGGAATGAGATATTTTTAAAATTGTAATGCCATTAAGTATATAATGCTATAAGTACATTTTGATAAGTTAATATAAAAGTTGATCGAATATTTGTATATCAACAAGTAAGCAAAAATTGTGAACGTTAAATAAATTATTTCTTGAATCTCGTGTTACTTATCAGTAATTTAAAACACCAAATTTTGCAGAAAAAAATGTTTCTCAAGTTTGATTGTCATTTCCAAAGCAAAACAAATGCCTCATTTGCCTCCATTACACTTCGGCTCTGATTAATATGCTGTTTTACGGTAGATTATTTGCTGCAAAGGGATATTCACTACATACATGACACGTTTATAGTTTCCAGGAAAATAAATGCTTAAAACAGTGTGAATCCATTAACATTCAGAGATCAAAACTCAATCTAAGAAAGACCGACTTTGCTTTAAAACGTACTTGTCTGGAATAGGATGTTGAACCAGATCACAACTGAGGACAACTTGTTTAACACAGGATGTAGAACACACTGTCAGTGATTTAGCCAGATCATCATGGTCATCTGTAGAGTTCCAGTTACTTTAAATGTACAAGAGAAGAAACAGTTTACTTTATTTCACTGAAATTGTTTTATTTTTGAGTAGTGCTTGATAAAAGGCTTTTCCCGCCTTTAAGTTTTGATAAATGAAAACATCAAATTAAGTGTATACGTGGGCAGATCACAGATCATTAGTTAACATTCCGCCTAGCAATCTAGCTGACCGTTTTGTTACAGAAAAAAAGGTTTATCAATATTTCAGCACAAGTATCAATTACAACAGACAAATCCTAACATGAATAATGATAAAAAGTAAATATTCATTTCTTTATGGATTTTATCCCAACTTCCGTTGTTATTGAAGTATATCATATTTATGCTCATTTTCTTCATTGGGACAATTGCTACTACAATACTGCCAATCAATTATGCATAAACCCATTACACATTCCTCATTAAATAAACATTTTGAAAGATTTGTCAATCAACTAATATTTTGTGTCCTGGCAACGGTCCACATAAAAAGGTTCTGTGAAGATTTCAATCGTTCATTATTTATGATGCACAATCTATAGATGTAATATTCGTTAATGCTCATGATTGCCAAAATAATAAACTTACTCTATCAATAAGGCCACCATCAAATCTGCAGAAATTAGGGAACAACTACCCCAAAGCTCCAATAGGGCTGCTATATCTTTTTCATAAAATCTTGAAGAAGATCGAAATAATGACGTTAATGGTTTTCAAAATAATGATAATATATGTAGAGTCAAACGGTAATGTAGCATTAGTTTAAATTCAAATATTCAACAATTCGTCATATTCTTCTTTATTTAATCAATAACAGACACTGTAAATTCATTCATTAAGTTATTTTATTTTAGAACATTTCTTCCTAATGAAATATTAATAGGAAAAATGCTAAAATTGGAGAGTACAAATTTGTTTTATATCAGCTTTCCATTATTTGAAAATGAGAATGCTACAATAAAGTGTGAGATGCCTAAAGAGTTAGTTCCATCCGCCACGAACGTAGCTCTTCGGTACTGGCATAACTTAAATTCAAACTTTTCGTAATTAAAGTTGTCCAGAGACTGTCTTGATTGTTCTGTGTGTGTCTTTTTGCTTTAATGCTCTCAAATGTTTTATGCATTGGGCATTCCAGTTGTGTCGGTTTCGAGCAAACCTGGTGAAGATTATTCAGGAACCACATGTCTCACGCATTGTAATTTGATACCATTTGTTAATATAATAGACGACAAACCGATGCCAAAGTCTAACATAAATATTTTTACAACTTTTGCGTTTAGAAAGAAAATACAATAAAGTTACCCTTTTACACACAGTGGGTGTGTTCTATATAGCATACCTTTGCGATAATTCTTCGTCGCTAAATATTTCTGATTCTATTTCACCATAGGCCAGTCGGATCGTATACAACAATCTAGAAAACTCGTCATAGACAAGTCCAAACTTGAAGGCATCTTCTTGTTCAAGTCTGAAGTGGATATTTTAAAAACAATCAAATAAAAGAAATGAAAGAAAAACGACGGTAGCCTTGCCATGCTATAATACCATTAATATACTACGTTAACTAGAAATGTACCTCTTAATTTAGTGTCAAGATGGATTTTAGCTATGACATATTTTAAACTATAGCGTCAAATTTACCCATGGTTTAAAATTTGATAACTGGTGAAATCATGTGGACCACTATGACAACATTTAATCTCCAACTACATTTGTAAGATAACAGCTTTCCCTAACTAAATCTTCTATGACGGTAACTCTTCTATACTTTGAAAATACCATTGTTCTCAACCTACCCCTAACTATCGCAATAATAAACATCATCTTTTACGGATAATACTTTTGCCACCCAAATACTGTTACACTATGACAATAATCAATTCAATTTTAATTGTATTATAACAATGCTGTCCACCCTAAACTATTATAACAACAACTTACTCGAACTTACTCATACAAACAAATAAAAGCACTATCTCTTACCTAGATCTATAATATCAATCTCTAACCTATTTGGTAAGAAATTATTGTTCCCAACCTAGATTTACTTTCACAACAACATATTCAAACATACTTTGTAAGATAACACTGTTTCCCTTTTAACTTCATACATATTCTGATGGCAGTTGTTATTGTTGATTCTTCGACTCGCCTCCATTTGTCTCTGAAAAAGAAATCTCTTATTTTCTCAGATGTATTAAAGGGAAACTTCGCAAAAAAATGAAAAATTGATATTATGTTGATTATGTATAAAAAACCACAAATTCATAAATATTAAAGTTTAATTCTGCTAGATAAGAGATCACCATCGATTTTAAATTTAGAGTATCACTTCTCCGCGTGCGGCCATTTTGACATCATCCCTGAATAGAAACCACGATATATCTAAAAACCACAAAGGACCAAAACAAGCAGTAACCTAACGTAGCCGTAATTGAGTGTCGATATCTTGTCAAGCGTACGGTTGTTTTACCCGACAAGGAAAGCCTAATCCCGGGTCACAAAAAAAGATTATAATAGACATGGTTGTGCATGCAACCTTTCCTAACTAACTTGATACGGAAAATGTAATTATATATAATTTTTTTTGAATAACTAGTACTATGGTCTGTCGTTTTGAAACTGTTTTTTTTTTACTAAGTTTTTGAAACAAGAAATGTTAATGGAAATTAGTTAAAAAGTTCAAAGTGATAAATTAAGTGTTCCGTGTAAAAATGTTTTCGAAAATCTAGTGTGTTCATAATTCATTTATGTAATAATCTTATTTAAATAAATTCGGACCTTCCCTTATCTGATCACCAGCATTGCTAAAGGAATTGTTCCCAGAGGTATTGTGAGTTGACACGTCCAGGTATTCAAGCGATTTCCTGTCGGGCTTTAAAACTCTTATTACACAATTACATAAAGCAAGTTCGTGCATCACTTCACCTCTGAGGGTATTGATCAGTGTACACGGCCGATAACTTGTAACTTTCCATTTTGAAACTATCAGGTGAATATACATCTTTGTCTTGCGTGTCCGATAGTGATATGCTAGTCTTTACTAAACCATAGATATAATAGCCATTATATATATGACTTAACTCATACGCTTGTTTATAAATAACATTTAAGGTGTAAAGAACATTTATGAAAATCTAAATAATTCCAAAAAAAGATTTGATAAAATAAAAATATATTTACATATTTTCCAAACGTAAATTGGGGAAAATGTAAGTAATTACTCGTTGTCAATAATTATGGACATTTTGAAACGTACAAATATTGATTTAACAAAATGTACGCACTTGTCGATCATTGGATTATACGCCTAGATAGAAGGTTACGGAACTATAGATAGTCGCAATTTAGAATATATACATGTGTATTGAATATACGAGAGAAACATCCAAAACCAATCTGATTTAAATACAGGTCGATATCTAAGTGTCTCATAAGTCTATTCTAAGGCTGGATATTTGATCTCTGTTTTTATTATGAATTGTTGTATATATATATTGTTTGATCAAATATGTGACACTATAACTAAATATTTATTTATTTTATTTATTTTATTTATTTTATTTATTTTATTTATTTTATTTATTTTATTTATTTTATTTATTTTATTTATTTTATTTATTTATATCTAACTTGCTTTGGTTCATCAAAGTTATGCACATAGTAAAATCACAGATTTTTATTTCCATAAGATTATTTTGAACAGTTTAAGAAAGTCGTCATCATCTCAATGGTTGTGTATTATATATAATAATGTAATAATGTGAACATGGTTCTATTATACCTCATGTCAATTTTCCTGTTCCGACATGCATGTAATATATATGCCACTGGACGTACACTAATGATCCCCAAAAAGCTTATTTGAAGAAATAAAGAAACTTCACTCCGAATTGACCGATAGTAGATGTGTTAACTGGTTAACGTCTGGTCAGCTAGAAGGTTGATTAATTTATTTAGTTAGCTTAAAAGGGAGGGGGATAAACCATTCCTAATATTGCACTTATGCATAAAATATTAAATGAGAGTAATATAAGAGAAAATATAAATACGAAAAGTCGCATATGGTAAAAAAAAGTCTCACTGGCAACTATAGAATCTCACGTACAATTGTCATTCTTAATCGAAATAACGGACAGTCATTAAAATACATGCATGTACACTTTGATAAAAAGGGGTGCTGCAGTTGCATATTATTCATCATAAATCTATTTCAAGTATATACTTTCCTGTCATTCTTATAAGTTAACGCAGAGACATGTAACTTTACATCTCTAGTTAACGACAATCAACCATATAAATATTTGAATCTGATGTGACTTACCGTTAATCTCTTTCTTTTTTCATCTTTTTTTTTTTATTTGGGCAGGTACACAAACATTGTAATGTTAGATATACTGTTCCCAGGTTGGGAGGGGGCGGTGGTTGGGGGTGAAGTATATCGAAAGTTACAAAATAAGAACGTTGTATTTATGAATTTACATGAAGAATTCTGATCTTGGGCGTATGTTTCTTTTTTTTTTAAGTTCAGTGATTTAAATTGAGAGAAAAAAATATAGTCAGAATTTAAATCGTACCGGCAATTTCCACATAAGACTCCTCTAAAATCATGAATGGTCATGCTTCACAATCATCAGAATTTTCATTGCATTGGTACATTCTGTACCGGTAGTGATTTACCTTGACATTTCCGGGTATAACAGAGCTACTTGTATATTACCTGTATGTGGTTAGGTGACGTCCCATGAGGTCTTACGTATACAGGTTCACATTTATAATGGTTTCTGATATAACAAGGTTTTATGACATTCACACTTCTGCATGTTCTGTATACCAAATTCTTATCTTATTTTCAGACCAAACGAGGATATGAATATTTTCCAGGAAAAATATTGAGTATCAAAGTATCAAATTAATTTCGGGATTTTTTTCTTTCTTGGTATTAAATCACAGAAACTTAAAGAAAATACTGCTTGTCCGCTTTAGGTGTATTCTTGTCAGTTAAGACTGACATATATGTCTCTGGTATAAAGTGGGTTTATGAATGAATGATAAGTCTTGCAAAGGTACAAGATATAAAGCACATTGAAAATTGATTCCTCCGGTCTGTCTCCATTCAAAAAAGTAAAGTTGACGTTAGATTGATTCTGTTATTTTTTTTAAACATCGTTGGTCAAATAGCTAAAGTATGTATACGTTGTGAGATTTTAAATATTTTAATAAGGGCATTAATTAGGTAAATGTAGATCGCTGTGGACGGACCAAGCTATATTAATCATGTAACCGCGATAATTTTCTCTCAACATTGAAATATTCACGGTTAATACCCATGATAATTTGAAAAAGTAAGTACAGTGTTTGGTTTATACGCTCGTTTTCGTGGGCCATTTTTATTTGTAAAATTATTTAATTGAAAGTAATTCAGAATTTCGATGTTACAACAAAATACTCACCTATCTATTTTAAGATTAAGCTTACGCAAAATATAAAAGATATACATGTATATAACGGCGATTCAGGTATTTTGCCACCATATTCCTCCCCAAATAATTAATGTTTTTATCATTCATACGAAATGTTGTTCACACTTGTAACGGTGAACCGTGATGGCTAAAATTCACTGAGTGAAGATCAAAAGAATAGAATTACAGAATGCTAATCTTTTAATTACCTTGAATTTAACCACGCATTCAACAGGTGGTCACTTAGTGTCACAGTACAATACACATTGTATTTACACAGTACTAGACTGAAGTAAAAGCCTTCAGGTGAGAATACAAACATGCATTTGTAAAACAATATCAGTTATATATGTTTGTTCAAAATATCCGTCGGAAAAAAAATTCATGAAAATATATTCTATTGTATGATTTACTTTTATTACTATAATCATATCAGAAATCCTTTAAATATAAATTGTACATTTTAATTTTGAAAGTTGCACGGCGGATCACTTTACTTTCTTAATTATTAGTTGGTTAATAGCTACGCCAAAAGTCGTCGATGCGCTTTAAATCCCATTATTAGATGATTAACGAACAAGACTTACAACGAGATTTATTCACTCCCGGCATGCAAAAAGACTTAAACTACGTCACATAAGTCAGGAAGTTGGAATAAATTAAATTATTAATTCCCAATTTTCTTCTTTATTAGTGTTCATATCCAGATAAAACTTGGTAAATATGTTTTTTATGGTATTATGAACATAATAAGATGAAAAGTAAAAAATCGCGAATTTTCCCTTTAAGTTGTACATTTCTAAGCGAAAACAATTTTGATTGAGGGTCACAATATAAGTTGTGTTTGGTAAGTCAGTTATTATCAACATTCATTTAAATTCGGAGCTATGAGACAAGTTTATTGAGTATTTAATTTGAAAATTTTATATCTTATTATTATCTTACGTTATGTCAATAGTCTATTGGCACCAAATAAGAGAGAAAAAGAAAGGCGAAATGAAAAAGAGAGATGTACGTACTGTATGTTTGATATATCGCTAACATTCATCCAACATTTCTTTATGTCCTCTGACATGTTGACCAGAACATCATTCTCATCCATTTGTCTGTAACAATCAAAACACACATCATAGAGAAAAATGATCCCCTCTTTTTTTTATTATAACAACGGGGGAAAAACCTAGCGACATAGTTATACAAATATGTAGTATACAATAGATACATTCAAACCAAACAAATCACTATAACGTCTACATTGTCTTTTTCTCTTGAAAAGGAAAGTATGAAACTTAAACGCTAAGTTTTAATTCAACTCTAATTTTCCATCAGTATGTTGCTGTCCTAACTTGTCAATGAAGTATGTCTGTTTTTTATATTGTTGAGAATTGAATTCTCGAATGACATTATATCAGACTTACCTTTTTGCCTCTCTTGTCCTTGTCTGTTTTCTGAAATGAGGATAGCAAACCTTGAAAGTTAGATATATTCCAAAATGTGAATTACATGCCTCGATATATGTGGAATAATGTTTTTACATAATACAATTGCATAATATATATTTTTATTTAAAGAGATAAAATCTAAGAGACGAAGTTTTTAACACAACATGATATAAAACGATTTTTTAAAATCAGTATTACAAAGGTAAATAGAATTTAAACCAAGGCAAATATTTGGTGAGCTCTGCAAATTAATAGTATGCGAAATGACAGTTATTATTTACAATAAATTAAGACCCCTATACACATACTGTTTGTTCAAACGATTATACCATGATGCCTTATCTAGAGGTATAAAAATAAGAATAACTTACACATTCTATTTAATATTTCATTTTCTCTAACAATGAATAAATAGTAAATATATTGCCATATTCTTATAAATAAGTATAAAATAATGAAAGCAAGATAACTGTTTCGTATTGAAGATAACAATACCGAATATTAAAAAAAAACGAGATGAGTTACCGAAAATATTGGACAACAACAAAATGTACATTGTTCAGCAACTAGCACAAGAAAAAACACAAACATAGGCTGTAGGGTCAGACATAAGGAGTTGAAATATTATTGAATATAATGAATATATTCAATGTACATTGTATAAGATTATGTATATGAACATCAATGGTACACATTATATCACGACTTTTTTGTACTTTCAAACCTTGATAATGTTTTCTGTTTCTGCAATAACCTCATTGCAATATCATACTAAAACACAATTTACATTGGTCTTAGTTTATGCAAGTTTGGTTATATTTCGAAGATGAGCTATTATATGAAAATGAGAAGATGTGATATACATGTATATATACTTTCCACCAAAGAGACAAAAAGACGATATGATGTAAGAAACTATTGGTCAATGCATGCTAACATTTAGACATAACTTTTCAGAAAACAATGATTTATACTGCTGTAACAAAAAAACTAAATAAAATCGACTTTTTGTAGAATATTAATATACTTTTTATTATATTTCTATCATCAAATGGTTGTCTACATTTTTGACTGGTATTATATTGCCTCCGAATTTAGGAAATAACTTTTTTTTTCAGAAAAAGTTGTATCCCTAAACAATATATTCTAATATGACGTTCGTATTTCGCTATTACAAAGCCATGTTCTAATTCGCTAACGCTCGATATAAAGATATTGACAAATATAATGCCTATCCATGTTAAAATGAGCATAGAGCATGGCATGAAAGAATTATGTCTTAAGTAAAGTAATACATAAAAAAGATAACAGGAACTATCAAAAATATTGGACATCTCAACAAACAACACCACCCACCAACAGTCGACTATTTATGTATGTTTATGCTGCCTTAACTTAAGTTCAACCGCGGTGATCTTGGTATTTATTAAAAATATAAGGATCATGTTCTTCTCTTCCACGAATAGGTGAAATCTTTTAAGATAATTTGAACTGAGTGATCCGTGTAACAACTGTTATTGAAATGCCATAACTTTGATACAATAGGAACTGTAGATGTGAAGAGAAATTCAAGTCAACGCTACTAAATCTTATTAGGCATAAGAAAGATAGACAAAAAGATCGCATAGATATTGAGTGTAAATAAACAAGTTAAGAGTTACAGTATTTGTTTTGTTTGAATAAACAATATTTCAAACCAATAGATATATACAACTGTACCATGGAGTACTTAGGCAAACATAATATTAACTTCTTTTAACATTCTTCGGTATCAATCATACTATATATTTATTGATGATAATGGACTTTTGATATAACGCATACAATTTAAATCATTTATTATGTTTTCTGTAACACGACATTCAACATTTATTCGTTTAAACTATAAGAAATTGTTGGCTTATGTTTTTCATTTTTTTAACTTATCTTTTGATTCTCCACGGGGTGTACAGACAGTTTTACATGACAGCTAGAGCCATAGACATCAAGTTTTTAACAAAAGATGAGGTTTCCAACAAACAAATCTGACAGAGAGAACATTGATGTATAGACTGGTTTTAAAAAGTTCATAACGACAAAATGTAAGTTAATCAAAGGGAAAGTTACCAAATATTTTATACTGAAGCTACTTTCGGCTCCTATGCTTTCGACTGTCTTATTCTATTTGAGTTATCTTTGTGTATGTCCCAATTTTGTTACGTGAAGGTTTCTGCAGCTCTTCACTAGGTTACTGTGAAGTTCAACTATTACAAGTAGCAATTCTAAGATTTTGCAAAAAATGTGTTCATACTTTATCATCCAATATTCAATTTCCCATTATGAAGAGTTTGGACTATGCCGCGAAGACTTGTCACATGATAAACATCAACAATTAATATTACAAGTGACAGATTGTATAGCGTGTGTTAGCTGAAAATAATCCGAATACGAATTATGTGAAAGGGGAAGGATTCCGAAAGTGGATTTTATAGGGGGGGGGGGGGGATGTAATTTCGCCAACACAAAATCAAAGAGAATAAGAACTGGAGCAATTTTTTCAATAAACATAAATCATTGGTTAAGGGGTATCGTAGCACGCGAGTTCGTCCCCGTTTTTTTTTTGGGGAGGAGTTCGTGCTAACCCTACTTAAGTTTCGTGTGTAGTGTTTTGTGGACTATTTTACATATGTATGAAGGCTGAAAATAACAAATTAGCCCAACTTTAAAATTCCGCTTTGTACTGCTTCGCAAGAAAAGTAAACATTTAATGATAAAAATTCATTTTTGGAAAGATGTATAGCAGCAGCGACAAAAAAATCAAAAAAATCTAGGAAATTCACATTAAAAACAAAACATGGTATGTAAAGTGACAAGTATAAAACAAGGTCATCAGTTTAAGCATTATTCCAATATATCATTGTTTTGTTATGATAAAGAATTACCATGCATCAAGAACTCACAAGCTTTAGTTAGAAAAAGAAGTTATCTTATGTATAAACAGTTGGAAACTATTAAAGTCTTACAAGAAAATCAATGTCATAACTTTATATAAAAATATTCACATACACATCCATCTTATTTGTTGTTAATAAAATTGCTCTATAGAATTGCTTAGATTAAACTCTGTGTATCGTAAAGATTGGATGAGAGGTGTTGATACGGAAAGAAAACCTTTTCTCAACATATATCGATTTTGAGATTACTAAATAACGATTTAGGCAAAAGAATTTAATGACAGATACAGTGTCCATGCTGTTTATCGAGAAAATTGCTTGTGATGAGCTGAGATTGACGTAAAAATCCCGCAATACAGAGATATCATAATTAAAAAAGGACAACATTGCTTACTACTATCTAATCGGCACAACAAGGAATACATGTATATAGATATAAGAAGATGTGGTATGAGTGCCAATGAGACAACTCTCCATCCAATCACAATTTGTAAAGTTGACCTTAGATGAATTTGGCTATTTTTTTAGGTATTTTTGTCATATAGCTCTTCAACTGTTTTGGTACTTATTCATCCTCGGATTTCAAATGTTTGGCTTTGAGCGTTCCTGATGAAGGTAAATCCAGAAAAGCGCTTCGGACGCATGAAATTATTAAACACCATGTTGTTTTCAATTTTTTACAGCACTGGGTCGATACCTCTGCTGGTGGACTATCAGTCCCCGAGGGTATCATCAGCTCAGTAGTCAGTACTTCGGTACTGACATGATTTATAACAAACCTTTCTAAAATTTTCCGTTTAGAAATTTCGAAATTATAAAGAAACTAAGGTTTCAACTCCCTCAGGCAAAGTTGACCTTAGATGAATTTGGCTATTTTTTTTAGGTATTTTTGTCATATAGCTCTTCAACTGTTTCGGTACTTATACATATTGGATTTCAAATGTTTGGCTTTGAGCGTTCCTGATGTGGGTAAATCCAGAAAAGCGCTTCGGACGCATGAAATTATTAAACGTGTTGTTTTCAATTTTTTGTAAAAGTAAAAAAAAGTACGGCCTTCAACACGGAGCCTCAGTATGCATAGATTTTCTTAACTAATCATAATTTTAACCGTTTTTCCCCTTTTAATAGCAACTACGTAGACTTGGTAATTCTCTTTCCCTTTTTTTCCCTTTATTGCATTCTAGTTTAGCCAGTCACATATTTATATCTCTGTCTTAATAAGTGGATCTTATCAGTAGTTTTCTTTTCCTGTCTCTGTCTATTGGAAAATTTGGCAGTGGAATAAGATAGTCTGTTCTAATTCGTAACATCTTGTTTGTTCTGTGGCCAAATGGTGCACATGGTCTTCCTTTATCACACTTTGATCCCTCTTAGTTGTAAACATTTTACATATAGCTATGAGCTTTTCTTATTAGCATCAAATGCTTCAACAGTACCTTTTATTTTGGTAAGGCTTGGACAGATTATTCTTTCGTTTCGTGTAGCTTTTCGTTTAAAAATCGATGCAAATATCAAAAGAACGTAACAAAATTACAGTAGAACTATTATCAATAAAGGTCATTCCAATTTCATCAGTAGTCATCCATTTTTGAGTCTCGGATGGGTTCCTTAAGCGTAACGCAGTACCAAAGATTGGTGTATGGAAATAAATGTGAAGAAAACAAAGATTATTATATTCAATAGGAGTGTTAGACTCCTTACTGAAGATTTCAAGATAGGAAATAATTCCATCGAATGTGTTAAACAATACAAATATCTTGGCATAGTCATCCAAAATACTGGAAATTTTAATGAAGCCAGGAAACAATTATTCCAAAAAGGTCAAAAGGCCAGTTTTAAACTGTATAAAGATTTGAAATCATCAAATCCTCCTATTAAAACTCTTTTGCATTTATTTGATCATTGTATACAGCCAATTGTAACGTATGGTTGTGAAAATTGGGGTGTTATAAACATTACTCCTAAAAGGAAAAAGTTATCCCTTTATGACATATTTAAAGATTGGGAGTTTGAGAAGCTAAATTTAAAACTTTGCAAGTATATTATTGGTGTTACAAAGATGTGCACAAACGT